TAAGTCTACCTTGAGATAGAAATGAACCTTGGAACACATAAAACCGTATTCATCATTCTACCTTGAGGTCAAAATTTACCTCAATCATCATTCTTCCATCAACTTTCTATTATGTGTGCAAGGTGAAATTTAACCCTGGGATAGCTAGGGTTAAAATCTACCTTTACTTTGCACATAAGTGTTGTTCTTTTTCTAAGCATCTTTTTAGTTCATACGCAACCATTTTCAAAGACAAACATATCTATATCTATAGTGAGTTTCAACTCAGTCTAGGCGGAAATTAAACTAGCGGGAGTCCGCTTCGCACGGACTCGCGCCACTTGCATTCTGCATCTTTTCATTCTAATCTGTCTCGCTGAGCCAGTGGCGTTGCAGACGGACTGCTCCACTTGAATGTTTCGTCTACTCCGGGTTGAAAGATACTGTAAAACTAGCTCAAATTTTACTTGTTTACTTAGTCCCATTCCTTATCCCTAATCATGGTTTTCAAGCTCTAAGGGCCGCATGCACTAATATCCCCGCGGGGAGGGGATCGCAGCTTCAGAAGAAAGCTTCATATCCTGAAGCTCCGGATATCTGGATTTCACGCTGTCTACCTATCCGTAAGTATTCCTACTACCCTTCACTATGAACATGTTGAACAGGAGCGAGAAGCTGTACAAACCGCATTTTCCAGCTTTTGTATGATCCCTGATGATCCCCGGCGCTTTTCTTTAAAGTCATTTTTCTTTCTCCGAAGTTAACGAAAACCTTCCAAAGTTGTACTTAACATCTAACACAATACTGCTAAGCATGTTGCTGATGAGAACAAATGAGTTTTTGAAAAGTCGAATTTTTCGGTAAGCCTCAAATTTCGACCTGTGGATCATCGCAAATTTCATGACTTAAAAACATCATTTGTTCTTAGCAGCAACATGCTTAGCACTGTCGGGTTAGACAATCTGCACAACTTTGGAGGTTATTCGTTAACTTCGGAGAAAGAAAATGACTTTAAAGAAAAGCGCCGGGGATCATCAGGGATCATACAAAAGCTGGAAAATGCGGTTTGTACAGCTTCTCGCTCCTGTTCAACTTGTTCATAGTGAAGGGTAATAGGAATACTTACGGATAGGTACACAACGTGAAATCCAGGTATCTGGAGTTTCGAAATATAAAGCTTTCTTTTAAGCTGCGATCCCCTCCCCGCGGGGATGTTAGTGCATGCGGCCCTAAGAGTCATTTAATGACCATTAATAGGCGAAGCCAGGGCCCGGCACGCGTTGGTTTGAAGGTTTTTAGGAAACGAAGTCCCCCATGACTTCGGGAAAATTTACGAAGTCCCTCTCGATGTGAAAATCAGTAGAGAAACCCTTATTGAACCAACCGTACACACAGACAGACATACAAACAGGCATTCAGCTTTATATACAAGGTGTCCCAAAAAAATGTGAACACTGTTTGATTGTTAGTAACTTCCTTGCTTTCATGTCTTTCGCCGAGCTTGAGGCACCGTTCTATAGAGCGAGGTTAAACTTAGATTTGTAGTATGGAGCGACTCACCGATTGCTGTTCGTTACTGTAGGATTACGGTATGAACTTCGGCAAGGATTTTAGGTCATTGGAGGCCATATTCTGCCTCGGAACAAACCAAACAAGCCAAAAACTTCTATACTATGGTAGTAGAAGACGCTGATTTCGAATATGAAATTTCCACTTCACTGTGATGCTTCTTTCCAAGGTTATCCCAGGTAAACCGTAATTATTAAATTTCAAGCATTTGTCAGAAATGTGACTACACCGTCAAAAAAACTAAAAACACTCGTAAAAAGCTGCCTAATGAAATCGGCGTGCACGAAAACCCTAATACACGATTTTTCAGATTTTTTGAAAAAAGCTTTTGTCAAATGGCATATTTCACAATAGATTAATATGCTAGAAGTTCACACCGTAATCCTACAGTAACGAACAGCAATCGGTGATTCGCTCCATACTACAAATCTAAGTTGAACCTCGCTCCACAGAATGGTGCCTTAAGCTCGGCGGAAGACGTGAAAGCAACGGAGTTATTAACGATCAAACAGTGTTCACATTTTTTTGGGACACCCTGTATAAGATGAGTGGAGATGTCGAAAGTCATTATCATGATGATGAGCGGATATGACAATTCTAGATACAATTAAGCATTTTGGACCTGTTCTCTTCAAACCGCCCACGTTGATCAACGACCATCGCCCTATTTGCTGGAGTAATTTTTCGCTTCCATTCATCTTTTAAAGCGGGATTTTGGCGATTACTCAAAGCGCCCCTCTATGATACAGTATCAGAATTCGCTATCCTCAGTTTGGTTGGACGTACCTTTGACATAATGATTGCATTGCCTTGCAATCCTCAAAGTCTTTTCATTAAACAAACAGTTTAGAAGACAGTTACGAAATGTACCGTAAGGTGAGGATCATGGCAATCGTTGCTATGCCAATTTGGCATTCATACACAATAAAAGCAAAGTATAGGGACCTAGATATTTTATGGATTTCTAAGGCTGAAGCAGCGCGTATAGTTATCAATAAAAGTTCTGAAAAGTTGAATTGTAAAGGTATCAGACAAAACTACTTCCATTGCTTCAAAAGATTCCTTGTATTCTTCACATATTGTCAGCAGCTTAGACGGAAATCCAAAGAAAATAAAAAATGTAGTAGCCTAGAAAGGATAGTTCAGAAGTCCACTATTCTCTCAGCTTAAAATTTGGCAGCTGATGGAACCAGATATCGAGCTAAGCCACTTTGTTTGGAAATCTAAAGGTGAAAGCAAGTGAAGGGTGTTTCTTCTTGGTGACAGCAGGAAAAAACCTAATCTTAAAGGCAGTAGCCCGGGGAACTTGCGACTGCGAGCTTCAGTCATCTCATCTACATGTCCTTCTGGATGCGCTCCGTCCAGTGCTGCGCTTGAAAGTCAAAAAAGTGCTTTTTACGGCGTTTTCCTACCGTGGAGACAGAAGGGATGTGCGGGGGATTCTCGCCATAAACAGCGACTGGCTGCAGGAAACTGTAATTCCACCAATTCTGGCGGTAATTGGCTGATCAGCTTAGGCAACCAATCGCGATGTTGATCCCTCGCCCATCCTCTCCAATTATCTCTTTCTCAAATAGAACCAAGTTTGCACTGATCGAGCTATTCTAGGAAAAGTAATGGTTTTCGTAAAGAATGCAATTACGGCGAGAATGACGTTCTCTGCATTTTTCTGCTCTTTTCACGAAACATAAATTCTTATAGAGAAGTTCGGTTAACACAAGCTTAGCACTAAAACGATTTATCATCAGAAATCGGGAGTTTGAGTGGTTCCCCTACTCGAAATTTTATCTCTGGAGTCTTTTGTCGACAAAGAGCTGCGAAGATGTAACTAGAAAGTAAACGAGTTTTTCCATCTAATTGTACTTCTTGTAAGACAATGCATTTACACGGGAAGCAGTTACGAATTTTTCAAAATCAACGCGACAGTATTTTTGAATCAACCGAATATAATGTTTGATATTTGAAAAAGATATCTAGTTGACAAACAATTTGCTATAACAAAGTTAAAGTGCAAAAACACTGAGCATAGATAATAGATAAAGAAGTCATGGCGTTTTTGGGATGATGACAATAGCTCAAAATGGTGCTGCTGAAATCTCCAAAACTTGTAAAATGTATCAGAAATGGCAAAACTTCGTAATCTATCAGGCCGTTCATGACCAAACTGCTTATTGGATTTTTTCCTGAGTATGTATAGCAGAAGTTTTGCAAGAAGAGAAAACAGTCGGTCAAACTGAAGCTTTATTGGAAAAAGCGACAAATGCTTCATGTATTAGGTTGTCCGGAAAATAATGCCAGTTTTGCATTTCAATCGCAATAAGTCATACACTTCTCATTTCTAAATAGGTTGCAAAGTACCATTGGGTAGAGCAAAGCAAGCTCTACAAGAAGGCCATCTTGCTTTTGCAACAGCTTTCATTCATCTCGAGCTTCGAGCCAAAAGCTAAAAAGACTCAGCAGCCCGAAAAGTCGAAAAAAAATCGTAACTCAGTTCATAAAAATCATACAAAAATTCTAACTTGCTCACGTAAACACTATCCACATAAAACATCTATATACGACTTTGCCGTATATTTTCCTCTGTTAGAAATTAAGAAAACGGAAATTTTCTTGCATTTGCCAAAGTGATGCTGTGCCGTCCGCACATAGGTAGTTGTACAGTACAAACCTGTAGAAGTACAAACGTATATTCTCAACTCTCTACAAGCTTTAGTTCTCGAGAAATTAGAATTTTAGCCTGGACCGCCTAACTAGGTAAAGCTATATTCGGTATTTCTCGAAATCTAAAGCTTGTAGAGAGCTGAAAATTTAAGTCTGTATAAGTCTGTACTTCTACAGGCTTGTGTATACAACTACCTATCTGGGGACAGCACAGCATCACTTTGGCAGATGCACGAAAATTTCCGTTTTCCTGGTTTCTAACGGGGAAAAAATACGGCAAAGGCGTATATAGGTGTCCTATGTGGATAGTGTTTACGTGAGCAAGTTAGAATTTTCGTAGGAATTTTATGAACTGAGTTACGATTTTTTTTTCGACTTTTCGGGCGCTGAGTCTTTTCAGTTTTTGGCTCGAAACTCGAGATGAATGAGAGCTGTTGCAAAAGCAAGATGGCCATCTTGTAGAGCTTGCTTTGCTCTACCCAATGGTACTTTGCAACCTATTCAGAAATGAAAGGTGTTTGACTTACTGCGGTTGAAATTCAAAACGGGCATTAATTTCCTGGCAACTAATAAATCACGACACAAATATCACATTCATCAGGACTTGCCTTGAGATTCACGGAAGAATTATGCATTTCCCACTAAACCAAACTGTTTTGCAATAAATTATCTAGCGAAAGGACTACTTCTAAGAAGCATACTTGTGGTCAAAGCCACTCAGCACAAGTCTCGTCACAAAACATCTATATTTTGCAATTGAAACTTAGAGTCACTAAACACGTATTCAAGTTCTAAACGGTCAAAAATGCTATTATGCAACGAAAGCTTATCAAAAGATCTCAATTTCTAGCCGCAACAACCCTGCACCCTAGGGTCTTTTCCAGATCGCTTTGTGATCTGCATCTTCACAAACTCTTCGGAGCTACACGGGTGAATAGCAATTGTATCTAAATTTGACATTTGCACAAAAAGTCACGCTCAAAGAAATAGAATGCAACTTAGACTTACCAATCAACTGATCAAAGGTTATTCCAGCTTTTACAGCAACGGCATAGCCTTGGATTATTTCTGCTGCATTGGGACCGACAATGTGCATGCCAAGTACGGTCCTTGGTTCTTCTCTCAGGCACACTACCTGCAAAGGAAGTTCAACACAACATATAATGCAACTTGGGGCCGTATGCACTAACATCCCTGCGGAGAGGGGATCACAGCTTGGAGGAAAGCTTTATATTTCGAAATTCCAGATACTTGGATTTCACGCTGGTACCTATCCGTAAGTATTCCTACTACCCTTCACTATGAACATGTTGAAAAGGAGCGAGAAGCTGTACGAACCGCATTTTCCAGCTTTTCTATGATCCCTGATAATTCCCGGCGCTTTTTTTAAAGTCATTTTTGTTCCTTCGAATTCAACGAAAAACCTCCAAAGTTGTGCAGAATGTCCAGCCCGACAGTGCTAAGCATGTTCGTGATAAGAACAAATGATGTTCTGAAGTCATGAAATTTGCGATGATTCACAAGTCGAAAGTTGTGGTTTATCGAAAAATTCGATTTCTCAAAAACTCATTTGTTCTCATCAGTAACATGCTTAGCACTGTTGTGTTAGATAACTAGTACAACTTTGGAAGGTTTTCGTTAACTTCAAAGAAAGAAAAATGACTTTAAAGGAAAGCGCCGGGGATCATCAGGGATCATACAAAAGCTGGAAAATGCGTTTCGTACAGCTTCTCGCTCCTCTTCAACATGTTCATAGTGAAGGGTAGTAGGAATACCTACGGATAGGTACACAACGTGAAATCCAGGTATCTGGAGTTTCGAAATATAAAGCTTTCTTTTAAGCTGCGATCCCCTCCCCAGCGGGGAGGTTAGTGCATGCGGCCCTTAGTGTAGGCTAGCAGATTGGAAGCATATTTGTTCTCTTGCGGTGCCAACCACACTTGCGAGTGAGCAAGTGTTATGGGCGAAAAAGCTCAGAAATGTGCGCTTCAGGGCTATTTTATACAAAGAAATTGTCTGCATTTCTGGTGGTTTGTTCACGCACATTTGCTGTCGACACTGCGCAGACACATCTGAGATGTTGAGTTTGTTGTAATCAAATATAATGATAACAAAATCCAATCAATTTGATAGTTATGATAGGTCCTGAATGTAGAACTCCTTTCCATATGAATTAAACTGTTTTTTTATACGGATTATGAGTGATCGACTCGCTTTCAGACCCCTGAAGAAGGCATTCAGCCGAAACGTCGGGCAGTAAATAAAGTGTTCCTTAAAAACCTGTTAAGGCTTAAAGAAAATTGAACAATAAGCTGTTTTTGTTTTCCTGGCAGACTCAGGATACCATCCGATAATGGAAGCAAGCTCTGACCACCAAAGATCCTCCTGCATTTCAGGTAAAGTTTGGAGCCGAAGTCTGAACTTTTTCAAGCTCTAAAAATCGTATCTCTTTCCAGAAAATTCCTACACTCGGTCGCTATACGTTACACACATAGTAGTATTCATGAGTACACTTGCTGGGTTTTTTCCGCGCATAGAAATCGAGAAAAAAAAAGATAGTGCAAGAATGGCAAACTCCGCCACCATCTGCTCCCACATGTTTGATTATACACCGCAAACCTTATTGTTAAGTGTCCCTTCGAGATATAACCTTCTTATCATTCGATATAACTTTTTATGTGCCCTGGTCATTAAGAGATACCCTGACATAAGAAAAAACCAAAAATAACATTATTGCATACGGGCTTAGTGAGAAAAAAAATTCAGCAGGGCATTTATGATTAATACTATGCGTCCACAACATGATGACCAAATTAAAAGTCCGTAAAAGCTTTCTGATAGGAGATTCGGTTTTTAGGTCTGCCGGAGAATTTTCTTTTTGACTCCAATCTTTACCTGGACTCCTCCTTACAACTCAAATGGATCTTTGTGGTTATTTTGTGCTTGCTTTGTTTTATCGAATGGTACGGTCAGCTAGGAAAATTACACTTTGATTTTTTTTTACAGAAGGGGTTTACTTTCGGGACAACCTGATGACCTATAAAATGTTTATAACAATTGCGCCCTATGACTTCGATTACCTTAGCGTAACAATGCGTAGAATCTTCATCTTGTGGAATGACGTGCTCATATGGAGTGAAATGGGAATGATACACCTGGAAAGTCCAACTTTTTCGATAGCAAACGAAAAATAAATGAGACGATGTGACCTCAATATTTTCCGCTCCAAACAGCTCTTCAGCAAACTTTTCAGTGAGTCCAACTGTACCAAGTTCCAAAGGAGTAAACACAGTAGTGGGAGGATGAAGATTATCCATGAGTTTTCGACCACCATCAAATAATCGCTGCGCCAACAGCTGACCACTCCGAATCGCCGTAGGCGTGAGCTCAGGGCGACCCTTGGATGTGGAAGTGAGTCGCATTATCGGTGAATGTAGTGCCCTTACGGTGCCGAAAAAATGCGGTAAAATTCGCGTGACAGATACCAACGCTTGTAATGTGGCATTTTGCACGCACTCGCGTACGGACGTAGCTATTTGTTCACGCGCAAATTTATCGCGATTTCTCGGCACCGCAAAGGCACTATATTCGCCGGCTCTACTAGCAAATTTGCAGATCTGTAAGTAAAATGTCGTTTAACAGCTAAATTACCAGGGCGACATCTCCAATAGCATATATATTATCAGTAGAGGTTTGGTCTTTACTGTCGACGATAATCCGGGAAGTGCGAGAGTCGATCTTCACACCAGCTGCCGCTAAATTCAGATCGCCATGTTGTGGATCTCGTCCTGTAACAAATTTACGGCTTCAGTCAGAGGAAATATTGCCACAGTGGACACCCACCTACAGCCCAGATTACGGTATCATATTCGTCATCCGAAAGTTCTTCGCTGATCAAGATGTCCTTGAAAGTGACCTGCAAGGAAGCCCCAACAAAACTTTGTAAAAGTTTGCAAATTTCACAGAAAGAAAAAAAAGCGTCAGGACGCCATACTTGGCTCACAATGGAGGAATTTTGAATTTAGGACAAAACGCAACCTCGACGAGGCAAATCCTCTGATGTATAGAATGCTTGTGAGGGTACGGTAGGGTTACGATAGGTAGCCAGTTTTTTGTCAACACAGTTTTTTCAGATTCTGCTTACGGTAGGTTACTCAGTGAGTAGGTACCACATACGTTGGGTCTAGAACCGACTCTGCAGAGAGATATGACGATGCGACGAATTTTGGAGTTTGCCGGAAATCGTGAAATTTTGTTTACAGACTAAGAGCTATAATGCATATTTAGTGAAATAAGTGAGATAAAACAAATTGGATTAAAAACAATAATTGTTGGATGGCGCGGATCACCAATCTACCAATCATTATTGGCGGGAGAAGAGAGGCTGATTCGACCTCCCAGCAGGGTATAAATACCGGTGGATGGGGGGGGGGGGGGGGGGGGGGAGCAGTCAGAGCGTGAAGAGAGCGCTCCAGGGAGTTCAAAAGAGCCGTCGAAGAGAGGCGGACCTCCCCCTTAGATAGAGATAGCCTAGAGACCCTCCTGAGAGGACGAATCGGGTCAAAGTCCCGTCATTGTACATAGCGTTATGTTCTTGTTGTTGTTAGTTTTGTGCCATAAGGATAAACTCTTGTACTCAAACCCGTGTTTCCCCGTCGATCAGGTTCTACCGGGACTTACCACTAGACCACCCCCCGTTACATAATCCAATTTTGAAAAAGGATGGATTGAGTTTCTCGAAAAAAGAAGACATAATTTAATGAACTGTCTTGTGTGAGGCATCAGGGTGGCAACAACGCTGCGTTTAAAATAGTTTCATAAGGCGATACACCTTCGTAGAAATTGGATTATCCAATCTCCACAAAGGTGTATCCCTAAGTTTTGCGTCCAACGAAAAATCCTCACGCGCAAGTGTTGTCGGCAACGCAGGAACACATGACTCACCAAAAACCAGACTCTAGCTGCCTTCACAATCACTCTCTCTGAAAAGTAGTCATCCACTTGGGAGCACCGTACCTTTTTCTTATCGCCATTCTTTTCCACCTTTTTGATTTCTTTGTTATATATCACGTTGACACCATGCTGTTTTAGGCCGTCCATAACCAACTTTACGCAGTCCTACAAAGCAAAAACGATTTTAGTACTGCTTCCCTCCACTCTTACAAAATTTTTTTTCTGATTTACCGATTATCTCACCTCTGGCCGATTTTCAAACCTCCGACCTTCAAAACTATGACTTACCTCATCATGTTTCTTTAAAGGTCTTGACCTGATCGCCAAATCTACAGGAATACCAAGGTCGACTAGCAGCCCGGCGATTTCTAATCCCACATAACCTGCACCGACTACCAAGGACTTTCCGGGCGACTTTGGCAACCAGAATAGGTCATCCGTAGTGATACCTGCATTTTGTAGCTTAATCTTACTACATCTATTATGTAAAATAGCTAAGCTACTTTGTCATTTAATTACCGCGGGAATATAAAAAAATTCTAACTATAACGTTAGTCTTATATATAAAGCTGAATGTCTGTTTGTCTGTATGTCTGTCTGTATGTCTGTCTGTCTGTATGTCTGTCTGTATGTCTGTCTGTCTGTACGTATGTTCCGAATAGAAAATTCCATTTCTGAACCGATCCGTACCAAACTTGGCACACATACACTACGGGCCCCGGCGGGTGTCATAGGCTATTTTTCGTCATCGATCGATATCGATTTTATCGATTTTTTGCAAAGTTTGAGCTACGGGGCTGGGATTTGGCACAGGGGGGTAATCGAGCATGCTGATCACCCCCGTGGGGGTGATCTGCATGCTCGGTTGCACCCCCCCCCCCTGCCAAATTCCAGCCCCCTAGCTCAAATTTTGCAAAAAATCGATAAAATGGATAAAAGTAATGCACGGTTTCGAAAACTAATATTGTATTCGTAATCGCATGCTCGATTACACCCCTCTGCCAACTCCCAGCCCCGTAGCTCAAATTTTGCAAAAAATCGATAAAATCGACATCGATCGATAACGAAAAGTGGACTGTGACACCCGCCGGGGCCCGAAGGGTATGTGTGCCAAGTTTGGTCCGGATCGATTAGGAAATGGAATTTTCTATTCGGAACATACGGCGGAGCCGGGTAAGCCAGCTAGTGGTCAATACAATTTTTTATGCGAACTTTGATGAGTAAAATCATATGTTCCTAAAAAGTAGGCCATGCTAAGTTTGGCCCTAAAAGTTCGCCTATGCAAAACTTCACATAAAAATACAGTTTCCATCCATTTACAGTAAATTTAAGGTGATGATACTTGAAGGGTACGCCAGCTTGAGATGAATATAATTTGAATGAATACCAGACCAGATCAGAGACCCAGCAAGTTTGACATATGAGAAATTTTCAAATATTCAAACTCAAATCAACTGTTTGATTGGCACACCAGAAAGGGGGGGGGTGGGGAATAAGTATTAGGTTGGTGCAAAAGTAATGCGCGTATTGCGAGTTCTCACTTTGACGTGCTTAACTTCCTCAAAAATCTACATTTTTTAATGCAATAAAGACCATCAAAAGTAGGAAATCTGTCTCAATACAGTACATATTCTTCTATAATCATACTACAAACGGGCAGAAATTTATCGACTGATAAGCGAAATTTTTCTTCTGAAATATCGTTTTTAACTGATCATAACTCCCTAGTTTGTTGGTATAAATGCTAAGTAGCCTACCTTGTAAGCACAAGCCAATAGCACAAAGTAAGATAGAGACGGTTCAAACAAGGAAGATCGAAAGGAAAGTATCAAAATTCAAAATTGTCAGCTTTTTTTACATTTTTTCACGGCAACAAAGCCCCGAAACATGAAGTTTTTTGATTTTTTGCGTACTAAGTAGATGAACGTTTTTGCAAAAAATGTCAACAGGAGACCCACCCTTACGCTTGCAAAAATGAGCAAAGCTTTGGCGACTGCGTTCTTCAAAAAAATTTTATGAACCACAGAATGACCAAAACGACTACCCTTGTTGAGACGCTGATATCCCAGTCTAGGCAATTTCTAAGAAGATAGGAAAGCGTGCATTGTGGACAATTTCTGTCACATACAGTAGCCGAACTTTCACAAAAAATGCCTTCGTTCGCGCTTGAAAACTAGCTAGGAAAGCAGATACAATAAGATTCTAATTTCGAGTGCGGTTGTGTAAAGCTTTGCGAATTCTTGACAAATGAGGCTAGAAGCTTATTTCAGTAATCATTGGATAGAGCATGAAAAGGGCACCTTGATGGTGTGTTAATTCTTTTCCAAAACAAAAGAGTCTGATGGATCAAAGTTGTCCTGAAACAGGGGCTAGAAGAACGCGCATTACTTTTGCACCAACCTTATTAAAAATAATATGTTAACAGACACTACCACCAACAATTAAAGACGTTCTATAGAGCTTTTCTGAACATTTGCAGAAAACTTTTTAATTCAGATTCTAATTTCAAATCTTATCTATGCCCCAGTTACCGAGCTCTGTTCCTGGGATATCCGGATAACGTGGGCGAAGACCAGTAGCGATGACAACATGAGGTGCGCGCAAGATTGTCTGAACTTTTCAGATTGCGAATAAATCAATAATTATGGAAAGAGGTTGTTATGATGAACTACCTCCGATTTTTTACCGTCTGTAGACACTGCTTTTACGGTATGCTTGTCGATAAAAGACGCAAGAGCTGTGTAGAGTTTTATACCCCTGCCAAAAGGGTTTCGAAATTTGTTTTAGCGGTACGAGATAATTATAAAAAAAGAAAACAAACTTTTCACTCAGTTGCACTCGGTAGATCCAGCTGTTAGCTTTGATTCGATCATCGACAGCCTTGATCAACGTCTCCCTGTATTCGAAATGAAATACATGCTTGTTTATGAAAGAAATAGTCATATCGATTAACAGGGTGCAGAAAAAGTACTGTCCCTCGTAGTAAAGGTAAGTAAATCGGCATGATTCCCAAGTTTCTTCTGGTAAACTCGACATAGATCCCAAGATGTGAATACGCTTTAGCATTTTGCAAAAACTGGCCTCAACTTTCTACAATTTCACCCGGCGACGTATCCTTCTTCGCAACGCATCCAACAAATCTTACAAATCTCTTTTGAAAATGTGAAGAGAGTGTTGTAATTTTTGAAAATTTCTTTTGTTTCCGATATGGATTCAAGAAATCCTCTACTGCTTAACACGTTGACGACAACGTGCATTTTTAGTTGTCAGCCTTATGGGACAATGGCTTCCACGAATAAGTCGAAAATTTCTAGCTAAAATCACAGATCGTCATCTAAACTATACCTACACAAATTCTTGAAAGAGCCAAGAAACGTCAAGGTATCCTCTAGGGTTAGAGCGTAAAAGACCTCATGAAATGGATGTACCCAGCAATGGTTATTATTTCAACAAAATTTACGCAGTTCCGTTGGGAGGAAAGTTGTGAATTTTTTCCAACAAAAAAGTTGCTGCGGCGCAACAGGGCGCGATTAGAAAACGTGGCACAGAGACTAAGGGCCGCATGCACTAACATCCCCGCGGAGAGGGGATTGCAGCTCAAAAGAAAGCTTTACATCCTGAAGCTCTAGATATCTGGATTTCACGTTGTGTACGTAACCGTAAATATTCCTGCTATCCTTCACTATGAACACATTGAACAGCAGCGAGAAGCTGTACAAGCCACAGTTTCCAGCATTTGTATGATCCCTGGTGATCCCCGGCGCTTTTTTTTGAAGTCATTTTTCTTTCTCCAAAGTTAACGAAAAGTTTCCAAAGTTGTGCAGATTATCTAACCCAAAATGCTTAGCATGTTGCTGATAAGAACAAGTGATGTATCGGAGTCATGAAATTTGCGATGAACCGCAAGTCGAAAGTTGTGGTTTGTCGAAAAATTCGATTTTTCAAAAACTCATTTGTTCTTATCACTAACATGCTTAGCACTGTTGTGTTAGATAACTGGTACAACTTTCAAAGGTTTTCGTTAACTTCAAAGAAAGAAAGATGACTCTAAAGAAAAGCGCCGGGGATTATCAGGGATCATACAAAAGCTGGAAAATGCGGCTTGTACAGCTTCTCGCTCCTGTTCAATATGTTCATAGTGAAGGGTAGTAGGAATACCTGCGGACAAGATAGCGTGAAATCTAAATATCTGGAGCTTCAGAATATGAAGCTTTCTTCTGAGCTGCGATCCCCTCTCCAGCGGGGTTGTTAGCGCATGCGGCCCTAAGTGTAATCGTCTATTAACCAAAAATCATGAAGTAGCCAAACTGATGTTCTTTTTATTATTCCAGTTGCTTTCTGTGGGAATCTGGAGTTTTCAAACATAGTTTGATTCGATTTATTAAACAAGAGCAGTTCTGACTAGCATTTCTTCGAGAATTTTTGCGTTTCGCCTAGGATATGATTTTCCTTGTTAAGCCAAGATCTCCAGTCACTTTAATAAGTATAGAATTTTGGAAAAGAGCTTTGCTCTGCACTCTATCTTAATTTCAGATTACTTCACTCTTGATATTGTATTGAGTTGTAAGGAAAGTTCCCGGGCAGTTTAGGAAATTTCATTTTCGGACCCATTTTTTTCGCACTCGGTTGAATCGTGACGAGGATTATTTTATATGGTTCTGAAAAAAGCCTAAGCTTTCTAGACTCAGTTTTTATCGATGTCAAGCCGTGTTTGATCAAAAAAGAAAGTCTGCGCAACGATGAAAATTTCACACTTTTTTTCTTGCTGCCTTTTTTTCGCAGTGAACAAAGAAAACCATTCAAGGGTTGGTCAGTCTTAATAAGGAGGCTGTCTACTTTTGAACCGCAGCTGTGCTCGGATTTTACAATACGCACACGAAAATTACAAGCTCTCAAACTTGTCTTTGATCGTACCTGTTTTCGCTGTCGCCATCGATTTTGTAAGGATCGTCACGCCTCGGTGATGGGCTCAAAAGATGTGCAAGACATTACCCTAACAATATTTGCAGCAATCAATAATTTGATTCATTTCATGGAAAAAAGGAAGACTTCAAAATTATTTACTCAAAAACTGGGGCATTTTTGAGATGCAAAAATTGCTGTTGATTTTTTCGAAAAAAACTTTTCACAGACTGTGCTCTGAAATTCTGACACAGTCCATTAATAGCCCCAGCAGAGTTCTACATATCTACTGGATATGAACTCTCCAGCTCTCTTCGTGCCTGAGAAATTCCTGTACTAACACGCCGAATTCTAGGTCGACTTTTTTCGTCACTGCGCATGCTAGTGTCCCAAAATAAAACGCTGAGGACCAACAAATTGAGCATAACTCAAAGACAACATTGCCTTTGCAGCGAAGTTTGCAGCTTTTCAAAAAGGATCGATCTACTTGAAGTTACAGGAGTTTGAAAAAAATCCGCAAGTGCCCGGAAACTTCAACCTAATAGTTACAGTCCACAATCTCGCTTAAACGCTACGGCGCATGGTCGATGAAGAAAAGAAGGAAACCGTTCCAAATCACACTTACCTTAGCTAATCTCCCCAAGTCTCACCTAAATGTGTAAATTAGAAAACCATAATTTCCTTACCTGTGAGATTTTTCAGAAGTCAAACCGAGAGACAATACTTTTTCCGCAACCTATATTTGCCCTATGAGCTAATTTCGGATTAGAGGTGTAATTATGGCTAACCAAGAGTGTTGTTCTCCATTCGCTTCCGCCCATCCGTACTTCGGTGCATGACGTATCTGTCAGAATGTTGTTATAGTGACTTGATTAGGGTTCCGCGCGAGTAACACACCATCGAGGGCGTTTTTTGAGACAAAAGCGGAGGGAACTGTATCAGACTAGAAATTTGTGTCTTGCACTAGGACCATTTGAAAATGCTAAGGCAACCGTTTCAATCGTGTAGTATTTTTAATGCATGTAATGAATGTGGCATTTCATTATCATCCATTTTGTGACTAAGAGACTGAAAACCGCTTCGCATACATTTTCAGGACAAGCGTGACTTTGTAGAGCTCATATCGTAAACTAATCTAGATATTTGTTACATGGAAACAGGAGAGAACAAGAACTGTGTTTAAAAGTTTATGTAGAACGTGTTGAGCCGTTCACGATATATCTATCTTAAAACACAAAGGTTTTCCCTCTGTAGTCAATGTATATGCCGCGGGTTCACTAGGAACAATTCATGATAGACACAACAACACGTAAATAGCAGTGGCGTACCCAGGATTTCGGCTCGGGGGGGGGGGGGGGCGCGGCAAAAAAATTTTCAAATGAAGGTGCGTGGCGTTAGCCACGCACTCCGAAAAAATTTTAGGGGGGCTTCTCAACAATTTTGCGGGCCCCAAACCCATAAAATCTGGAAAAAGGGGGCGTGGCGTCAGCCACGCACTCCGAAAAAATTTTAGGGGGGCTTCTCAACAATTTTGCGGGCCCCAAACCCATAAAATCTGGAAAAAGGGGGCGTGGCTGACGCCACGCCCCCGAAAAATTTTTTTTATAAGGCTAATTTGAATTTTTAAAAAATTTTAAAAATTATTTTAATTGTTTACAAAAATAAACAAGCCATTTGCACATTTTTATAACGCACGTAAGTAATTTCCAAAAATTTCGCGATTCTCGGGGGGGGGGGGCGCACTGGTAAATAGATATATCAATATGTGTGGGTATGCCGCAGTGACCGAGATCACATCCACCTAAACTATAGGGGCGAGCGGCTCTCTTTAGAACGTGAACAGCAAAAAAGCAACGTACGCGAGGCGGTCTCAAGTTTGTAACAGAAGGTTGATATGCCGTTCAGTCTGCACCTGTGGAAGGTCTAGATCCATAACCCAATCCAATGTTGCTGACAAAGTAACCTTTGATTCAGCTGCTTGACGGCTGGAAGGCGGGGCTTTGTGACCTACCCTTTTTTCAGGTGTATAGGCCGCACCCTTTTCGCTCTATAGGCGAACACACCAAAAGACTGACTGTCATCATGGAGCGCGTTAAGTGAGAGCAGTATGCGATAAGGCGACCGCTTCGCGAGACATATGCGCGGCGGCACGTCTGGGTCTGCTCGCGTTTAGAGCAAAAAGGGTGCGGCTTATACACCTGATAATAGGGTAATTAAGGCCGCGCGCGCCCGCTCCTCACAAGGGAATGGTCGGAAGTCGAAGTGGCCAAACCAAACAAGCTGTATACCATTCGATGCAGTATAAAACGCTGACTTCGAACCTGTCCTTCCTATCTGCTTCCCGCTTCTGTGACGAAGCTACAAGCGATTTTATTGTGAAAAAATCACACATAAAAACAGCGAAATTAAGCACACTGTTGCACTTTTAGCTCAGTTTCTTTCTTTAAAAATTTGAAGTAGGCTAGCTGCGTGTTTTGGCCCAGCATTAAGGCGAACGTGGCTCTGCACGGCTAAATTTTCAATTTCACGCGTAATTTCTTAGCAAAGTAATGGTCTTTAATGGCTTGTAGCTTCGTCCACAGAAGCGGGAAGCAGATAAGAAAGACAGATTCGAAATCAGCTTTTTGTACTGCATCGAATGATATACAGCTTGTTCGGTTTGGCCACTTCGACTTCTGACCATTCCCGTGTCAGTTTGCGTCTTCCCGCGCGTGCTCGATCATTACCTAGCCTTAATTAGGTCACAAAGCCCGCCTTCCAGCCGCCAAGCCAGTTAAACCAAAGGGTAGCATTCAATAAAATGCAGTTCGGGCTGACAACTGACAGTTACCTCTCTTCCTACTATGCCCGCATGATGCATCAGTCTCTTGGGAATGCACCCTACGTTGGCACAGGTTCCTCCAATACCCCAAGTGGTGCCATGTGGGCTGGGAGTTACACCATCTACCAGAGCAACACGAACACCATAGTCGGCACTAAAAGAATTAGAAGCACTTGGTAATATATTGTCACGTTAACTGCGCAACTTACGCGGCTTTGGAGCAAGATAAGCCACCGGATCCACCTCCGATGACAATCAAATCGTAGTCCACCGCGGAGGAAGCTAGATCAGCGAAGAATCAAAAGCACAAACACTACACTTATCCCTCCACATACAACTGCTGGTGCTATCACATATTGATGACTTGAATCCTTGAAAGCACGCTAAGCCTCGCGTTGAGTCATTTGACACGCTGAACAAGACTTCCCTCCCAAACAATTGCATCGGAAAATTTTTGGTTTGATAGAAGACCTTCGCGATCCCATTTTATGTCAACAAAAAGTCGCAGTCTCGTCTTCCTTCATAATGTTGCCTGCGATCGTGATCCGGAGCTCCTTTCAACGCTTCTTAGGGCTTTCTTTTCATTCGACCGCTTCCAAAATTGCTTCTTCCAAAATATTGGCTACCAGTCCCCAGATGAGTTGCACTCGGATCTCAGGGCTCTTACATCTAAAATGTGGCCCATTGCTCGTTGAAATGCGTTCCGGGTTCCTCAAAAGCCGTGAAGGCGCATTTTGCGCAGGCTCGCATATCCTTAATGGCGGTTAGTCATGGTCTTCTTTGATGAGCGAACAGAAAATGATATAAGCACCAAAGCCTATGACCGCCATAAACGGCTTATATCCTTTCAGTGATGCTACGACAGATCTTCTTTCAGCTTTCGACGACCGGATCGTACCTCTGCTTTAACACATTCACGACAAGGTCAATTTTTCGATTACTGCCATTTCGGACCAGAGCGTTCGTCAAAATTACGACCCACCCGTGGGTCGTATTGTCCGAAGGTACTCATTTTGGAAGAAATTCAAAACATATCTCCGACAGTTTCCCCCACAAGGGTTATTGAACGCGCTGATTACCAAAATATGATTTACCCTATTTTCCGGCGTATAAGCCGCATTTATTTTCGTCGCGCGCGGGCTAATGTGCGATGATCGTCGCGATGTGCGAAGCCGCGCAAGCAGCCACTACCACCTATTTTACCTAGTAGCCTGTTTGTAACTTTCAGCTTTCGCTCTTTCTTGTGAAAGCATTGAAAGCACCATTGAAACATCAACATCGTCATCAACAATCATTAAAATCAAATGAAATAGCAGCAGTAACAGTAACAGTAACATCTTTGAAAACAAAAGAAAACACCGTCAACTCCATTGTATCTTCGAGGAAAAAACACAACCCAAGCGCCCCAAAAACTCCGAATCTCTGGAAAGAATAAAGAAGTACTTGAAGACGTGAACACGCGCACGCGAGTTTTCAGTTTGTTAGATCAAAAACTTTTTTTTCGAAGGCTCTTTCGCGCCATTGTTCGCCGCGGCGGGTGCGGCTTATATAAGGTGCGGCTTATAAACCGGAAAATAGGGTATTTCAGTTTTGGAAGTATACGGTAAGGGTTACGATAGTCATTCTGTATGGACCCAACATCACGGATTTTCATGCAAAATTGTGTTTGAGGTTATTTCACGTGCTGATTACAATTATAGTGTCCACTTTGTTCATTACTTTCCCACAGTGGAACTACGGTAGCAGTACCGTAGAATTTTCGTAGAAATCAAGAAAATGATGTAAGAAGGTGGTATCAAAACTTGAGACTATTATTGTTGTAATCAGCATGCTACTAAACCTATATATGCAAAGTTCGAGCTTCCTAAGATGAAAAATGCAAAAAATCAATAAAATCGATAATTTATTTGTTGGGATAACGTCAGCTCCTTGCCCGCCCCGTATTACTCTTACATGTAAATTGATTCTCCAGAAACGGCATCATTTTGCGAAGAATTTGAGCCAAAAGCTTGTGCCTTATATATATAGTATACCTACCGCAACATTAAATCAGTATTCCGAGCCCGGACCACTCTGGCTAGAGCTTCACCTAAGTGCCCCCAATCATGTGCCAGAACCCCGTAGAATTCCGTCGTAAACTGGCAAAGACAGCGCTTCATGAATCTTACGACCCACCGGTGGGTCGTATTGTCGTGAATGTGTTGAAGCGGTGGCGATCGGAATCATTGCAGAAGGATGGAAGTACTGAAAAATCGAGTAAGATCTACCTTCGATTATTGAGAATGTGGTCAAACTCAAGTGAGTCATTCCGTTGGGCGATTCCTATGCCTACGGTGTTCTTCTCTCTTCATGAAAATAAATAGACTTTTCATAAGAAGGTTGTGCAGTGTAGCGAAGTTCAACAACAGGCTGTCATTTTCGTCTTGGATTCCATATTCAAACCGATAAACACACTCAGAACAAATTTGTAGAAGGCATTTCGTTGCGAATGACCTTCTCTTCTTCGCAGAAGCATTTATTCCTTATCCAGTTGATGTTGGAGAGTAGCACTTGATGATGCTGACAGTCTCGCAAAGAGAGGGCGAAGACCCAGGATTGCCAGTCGAGGTGGCAGATTCTCGTGCACATGCACCGCATCGACAAGATGGAGACGATAATCGAACGACAAAGCCACACCATCAATGTTTCAAATAGAGCTCTTTATTACCATTATATGGTCCCATCGCTCTCGATTGTTGCACCTCCTTCTTCTTAGCCCTGATTTCCTGCACATCGATAAAGTATTGACTGGACCCTGCAGTGTCGAAAAGAGCAGGGAGATCGGTGTTTGTGAACACTGCAACCGTCACTCGATTCGTTGGATATACTTACCACCCCTCCTTCACACTGTTGCAGCAAAACAAGAACGCTTTCAGTTGATTCGTCGAAATTCAAGACCTGTACACTTTTCCAGTGTGGAGTTCGGAATGAATACTTCTACAAACTCAGCAACTGAATGGTGGTGGCGCAAGCACACCAGATACGAAACAACATAATGAAGTGCTTGCCTGCTCGTTGAAGAAAGACTTGGTTGCTAGTTTGTTGAAGAAGCGCAAGCACATGCTTCCCATAAAACCGTGATAGCATCGATCCTCCGCCTTTTGTTGGCTAAGATCGCCCACTTTGAGAGCTCTTGAGTTCTAAATACTTGTGGTAAAGATAGAAGAAGCATTTAACTGAGCGACACGACAAAAAGTGCACTATTTTCTGTATGGATTAGTCTGTGCTCATCGATAAAGGTGCAGCAATGCAATGAGTGTTTTTAGAATGCATAATGTTGCCCAGTGCACCTGTACAGATGTGCTCCAAAATCTGGATTTTTACTGAGCTTAACAAGCACTAACTAGGCAGGATACTTGGTCAAGTGGCGTTTCCATGTGAGATGTACACTATTTTTTAGAGCATGGAACGCTGATTCCAAACCTGCTTTCGATATTTGCAAAGCGCTTCTGGGAAGAAAGTTCTGGGAATTTTTTGAGGTAAAAATTCAATGATTTGGCTAAGATAAAAGTAGGTATTGAAGTCGAAACAACATAATGAAGTCTTTCCGACGCTTGAAAGGAGTAATGACTAACACCAGTTTATTAGATTGAAGGTCTCTATTCCATAAAACGTCCTGGTAGTAATCATGACCCCTTTTGAGCTCACGGACTAAGGTTCTAAATGATTTTCTTGTAGCGGCGCTTTCAAGTTTCGGCATCAAAAAATTTCCAAAACTCCCCTGTCAGAAACAGAAACGCTTTGCAGATATCGAAAGTGGATTTGAACTCAGCGTTCCATGCTCTATAAAACAACATGCATTTTGTGTAAAAACGCCACTTCGAGCAAGTATCCATTCCTTGTCAGTCCACGGTAATTTGCCGCTACTGCGCAACTTCGGCCGCGTCCGGAGGTTGCCCGAGTGCCGACACTGTCTAAGAAACACCTTCTTACAGGGGAAGGATTATTGGTCGAAGTGGCCTTTTATGATGAGGTCCATATATTTCTAAAGTGCATCAATTACTGATTCCAAATTAATGTGCCTTTTTTATCTGCGGAGCGTCTCTCAGTGAGGAGATATGACCTTTTCATGAGCAGAGAAATTGAACGCGCGACCAGGATAAAAATGATTCTAACAGCTTGTACAACGCAGATGATGTAGTGTATAATATGGGTATAGCAGAAAGAAATTATTATTTGCACAGAAATGGACAACAGACATCACTCTCCATTCAAACTCAGGAAAAATTCTCTTCAATGGAAATTTCCCTTCTTCCTACGCCTTTGAATTTTCGCCGCAAGAACTTTATAACCTCTTGACAAAGGCGCTCCACAGAGGGGAGGACAGATTTGGAATCAGCGTTGGATGCCTTCCAATGATATATGCATCTCATCTGAATAATTCATGATCAAGGATCCTTCCCGTCAATTCTCGCATGTGAGCGGCAATTTTTCGAAAAGAAGAAGGGGAGGGAACTCAGACAACTGCATCGGAATATTCGCGGCCTCAAAGCGTGTTCCATGGCGCGCCGCGGCCCTTAATTTCAGCCGCGCACACCGCGGCCCATGTAGATTTTACCGGGAACGCCGCGGCCAAAGTTAAAATTGGGAAGAGATTATCGGGAGAGTCACGCTCAGACACTCGTGGTTGACTCGCGCGCAAAGAAAAGTTATGTAGCGACAGAATGACTGCGGGACTTAATTAAAACAGTCGCGAGAATTTCGGGACACCGCCGTAGTGATCGGAAAATTGCTGCACGAGACAAGTTATTCTCCCGCACTCACGCAGACCGGGAGAAAAACTGAGCTTTAGCGCAAAACCCGGTAATGTTGAGAATTTAATTACGGCGCAACTTGCGCTCATCGCTGTTGTCTTAGTTACTTTTTGAAATGCATTGAATACCCATGTTTTCAAGTTTATTCTCTTATCAGTACTCAAATAGATGTTTATTGAGAACTTCTCATAACAAGTGCACACACAAAATAAATGAATTTAGATCTTGAAGTTAGAGTGCAAACAAATCAAAGCAAGAGCACCATAATAAATGGAATGGGAGTATAATAGTGGCTAAGTGAATTGAAAGGCCGTATTCATCATTGATACCTTGAGGTAAATCGTACTTCCAGGTAGTTTTATCAGTCATTAGGTATGAATAATGAATACGACCTAGGATCTTCAAGTTATAGGAATGTAAACAAATAAGCAAGAGCATCATAAGTGATATGGGGTATAAAAATGAAAATTCTTCTAATTAGCGCGGTGATAATGAGAACATGTTGGAACAAACAAAAGTAATAGTGATGCTTATGTGTGATAGAATTGCTTCCAAGTGTTTCGAGTTCATATTCTTTGTCCTCATCCCTGACCTGGACCGGATCGGTGGCCACTGCAACTGTACAAGTGCGTTTTTTCAGAAATAAAGATGCCATTTTAAGGCTGATGTGCATAGAAAGGATGTATATATTACCGACGGGGGAACGAGTTCGTTCTTTTCCGGTTTGAACGAATAAGCGCGCAGGTCTCCCCTAAATTGAAGATATATATATATATATATTTATTGGAAGGATACATGAAAGCCTACAATGCTCTTGTAAGTGCTGAACGAATATTTCCATTCCAAGTAAATCTGGCTTGCACCATGCTATCAAATCTCTTCGTGCGTTGTTGACCATTCTCTCCTAGCGTATGCCAGTAACTGAAAGCACGAGAAATCAGAGAGCTCTAAAAAAAATCTTTGGTTATACCTATTAGCTTGTCTTGCGCATTCAGCGGCACTTAGAAGAAGCTCATCCGCGAATAAGCCAAAAGCGTCTAATATGAAGTCTAAAAAACGAATAATTGAAAGTCTTTGCGCAGGAGCAGGCAGGAGTGGAGCAGGCCTAAGTCAAAAAGCTATGGCAGTTCGTTGTCTCTATGCAAGCAGGAACGAGACTTTTACGAACAATGGTTTGCGTTCACTTTACTTATCGTCCCTTCCGCAGATCGTGCTACCCTTAATCTGCGTCTCAGACCTACCACGTGTGGCTAACATGTTGGCAAGGTGGCAACAACATGTTTGCAACATGCCCCAACATATCGGCAGAACATTTTGGCCACGCCAACATGTTGCTGCATGTTGCCAACGTGTTGCTGCCAACGTCGCCAATTAGTCACACGCGGCACGTCCGTGACGCCACAAAGGTAGCACGATCTGTGGAGGGGACGATATGTTTCGACTTCCTGCTCACGCCAGAGTGATAAATAATAATGCAATCAAAAAAAGATGATAACAATCTCGTGTATAGTGAACAGAAACTCGAGATATGTGAAAATTTTTCGCAAGTTGAACCTGCAAGGGTACTTCCAAAATTTTTTCAGTTAGGCAAGATCAGCTAGCTAAAATGATGTTTAGTGAATGTGATAAGATCGCATATAAGAACAAGCTCTAAATGCATTTTCTTCTATGAAAATTATAGAATTCAGCATAGGGATACACAATGGACAGGTGATAGAGAATAGGCAACAAAGAGCAAAAAAAGAAGTTATAGAGAAGAAAGATCGAATTAATGCTAAGAGTTTCGCATTGTGATCAGAGATACTACAAAAAAGTCTTGCAATATCCCAAAATACGAACCAACCTGACTATTGAAGAGCCAAGTGGGACGTGAAAGTGCGTCTGAGCTGTCTCTGAGATGAGACGAGAGACTCAGTGGTGATCCGGATGAACCCGACGAGTTACTGTTCATTGCGGTCGACGATGTGGAGAGACTATCGAACCAGGGCGAACTCTGTTACTTGCCTCCCAACGGGTCAAGCATGCGAATTGCTACCTGAATAGAGGGTTGAACGCATTTGTCATACACTTCCTAACGAGATGATGAAGAAACGCGAACGAACGCTGAGAAGAACTGGAAAATGCTGTAACGAAGAAGAAACTCTTATCGAGCACTCAAATCAAGAAGTCAATCGTAAAGGTGGGACAAAAAAGAATCCTGATCGTTAACCCTTCAATGCGTAACAAAAAACAAAGAAACAGCGACACTTAAGACAGAATGAAATCAAATTCTCACTAAACCAGCAAAGTATTAGACTACTTCAACAAGACAGATTCGAACAACAATATCAAAAACTAGACGCAAGATTCATCGGAAGAATCAGCCCGCTCCACCACTAACACAGGCGCAACTTCTTTTTTGAATTTAGACGCCCAGGGCGAATCATGCGTGATTACAGACAAGACCATTTTAGACGACTAATCGCGACCAAGACCATTTTCGGGAGTCGCGACGGGTGTTGTAAATTTCTCCCGCCTCCTTTTTAGTTTCGGGATTAGCCCGAACGTCGCAACAAAAGCGCGTATGCCGCAGCAGTACTCATTTTTCCGCGCTACCCCGTTTTGTGGGCGGATCCACTGCGTGTGTTAACCACGAATGTCTGAGCGGCCCAATCACCTCACTCGGTGGGTCGCGGGTATTATCAAACGCCGTACTTCCTACAGGCTGTAGATTAAGTCGCAACCCGCGCGGGGTACGCCGCAGTGATGGGACTACCCTAAGTGTTTGTGAGGTTCGGCAATCGCTTCTCGGGTTTGGTCCTGTGTGAGTTTAGTTTTTATGCTTACGAAACAAACCTCAGCAGTCGGATGAGCGTTATGACGACATTAGATGATGTCGACAGATGAGCTAACAATTTGCTCAATTTGTACTCAAGTCGCTGTCATGAAAGACAATCCAAAAAAAATTTTCACTCTTCCTAGGCCTCACAAGCATGCTAATCGGGTCAACTATCGGGCGCTTACAGGATGCGCCGCGGTCACTTATCGGGTCCAATATCGGTTTATACCGGGCAGCTCGCGGCATGGATGATTGGTGGCCGAGCAAGCACCCGCGAACTTCCCGACGCAGTTGTCTGAGTGGTCTAAGACAAAAGATTGAGGCAGGGTCTAAGGAGGGGCGGATCTGCGACATTGCCGAATACATTGAAACCCCAAACTGACGTGGGCAAACCCATCGTGGCCGCTTCTACTTTCAAGAGCGGTTTTCTCGCTTTGGAATTCATCTGCTGCAGCGAGATTGGGCAATTACTTAGCTAAGGGTCTCCTACTATACAAGATCAAAAGCTCGTCCTACTTGGGTGGAAGGTGCCTTTTGGTGAAGCATTCAATAGGCGCGAAAACTTTTCACACCAAAGCCGCTGTAGCGCTGCTACCGATATTGGCGTTCTTGCCGTTATTACCTCGACCGCAGATGTTGAATGATCAAGTAATCATCCTCTAAGCGATCTCGTTGGTAATTACGTAATGTTTCTTATCGGAAACGTGGTGAGAACCAGAACATAGCTAACAAGCAGAATCGCGTACGGGAAAAAGACTGCAATGATAATTTCACCTTGTTGTGGCTTGCTTAGCTGGACACCGGGATTGGTATATCCTTTATTCGACTAACGTTTCGGCGGTATCGCCTTCTTCAGAGTCTGAAATCATCGAACGCATAAGTGAACTATCCTATCAAAAACCGCCTCAAGACCTAGGAAAACGCCCAATGCGTCAGTGAACCAAGAATCCTGCATTCACTTTCGAGTTCTTGGTTCACTGACGCATTGGGCGTTTTCCTAGGTCTTGAGGCGGTTTTTAATAGGATAGTTCACTTATGCGTTCGATGATTTCAGACTCTGAAGAAGGCGATACCGCCGAAACGTTAGTCGAATAAAGGATATACCAATCCCGGTGTCCAGCTAAGCAAGCCACAACAAGCATTTACAACATGCCGAGATTAATCGAGAGTCGAACTTGGACGATAATTTTACCGCTCAACACCGAGAACACTGGAAACAACTATAATAAGGGTGACAAATGAAAACTGTAACGATGTCGCAGCGGCGGAGACAGCAACACTGATCCTCTGAACTTCGAAAAAAATGGGCGGCTGCCATTTGAAAAAAATTTATACATGGGTAGAATTTTTGAAAATTTCCGGAAATTATGTGAGGTGTTGACAAGACATGCAATTTTACAATAAGTATCTTTTGAAGATTTCCCATCCTTCTCCCTTCCCCCCTCCTCCCTTCTCCGCCGGCCCTCTCCACTCCGCCACTGGTGTCGTTCTTTTAGAAGAGATTATTTGACCAATTGCTTCTAGCTTCTGAATGACCTTCTCTTTTCGGAATTCATCCTAACAACGGGATAAGATCTATACATCATGAATTCCTCACCACATTTCGAGGGAGAATTCGAACAGATTCAAAATGACTCTCAAGATCATGTTCCAAAGCAGTAGATGAGATACATCACTTCACAAGTCGCGACTGTACCACCTGCTCAGAATTTAGCGAAGTTCGCGTTTTTTTTTTCGAAATAATAATCAGGCTTAATCTAGATAGAACTAAAGTTGGAAGGATATGGAAGCAGGAATCAACGTCCGTGCAATTTTTTTAGACTATAACTTCTCATTTGTTTCTACCATGTGGTTACTTTTTTCTATAGTTTAAATCAACTGCAGACATCAATAGATGAAGTTGACTTAGCGTTGAATTCTTCTGTTTGCCTGCGCAGGTAAACAGCGAGTAACGCTCGATGTAATGACAGATCTCAACAATAAAACCATTCATATATTCTCTGCAAACAACTATCAGATCGAAGCAATTTTGGAGCAATATGAGGCACTTCAGCAAGGACTAACAGAGGTTAACAATATATAATTTGGTATGCGCGATATTAAAAAGAAGAGTTTTGACCAGCAATAGTCAGAGAGATTATATACCTAAATCTTTGGAAGAAACTTTCTCATATAAACAGATTACTAGATCAAAATCATTAGAATGAATGTCATATATAAGTGAGATTACAAAGATATGCATGCAAGTAAAAAACTAACTAGGAAAATTCGAACAACATGTCACGGGCATTGACAAATCGACATCAAGTCATCCTCATGATAATGAGCTAGATGCTAGCTCCATTGTAAATATCAGTGGTGCTGACGTTTTCACTCTGAGTACCTCATCCTCCATGAAATTAGACGTGCTTATTATACCTCCAAAAGCAAGTGGTGTCTCATCTGTAAACAGTGATATTGAGCATAGACAAAGCACATGATCCATCTTTTGAAGGCACCTCCACCCAAATCGGGGGCGGTTAGGTTTTGACGATGTTTGATACAGGGACTTCCAACCAATTTGAGTATCGCCCAAATCCCGCTACAAAAGATGGCTTCGGAAAAAAGAAATCACCCAGAAGGCAAAAAGAGCGATGACAGCAATGCCCATCAACGTAAGCTGTCTGAAGATAACAGTCCAAAATTATATTCAGGGCCCAGCACGACCTGGCACGAGAAAAGTTTGAAAACGATGTCCCCTTGGTTTTGAAAACTTCGTACGAAGTCCCCTTTGACCCTATCAACTAAAAAAAAAATAACGTCGCAATTTTTGAGTCTTTTCAGCCACAAAAACGATATCCCCTTTGGTTTTTGTCTCAAAAACGATATCCCAGCATGACCAGGTGCAAGCTATGCTAAGCCTTGACTATACTTTGGGGTAGATGGATATGTCGAAAGTCATAATCATGATGAGGAGCGGATTTGACAACTCTAGATACATTCGAGCCATTTGGAACAGTTCTCCTCAGTCTACCCGCGTTCATTAACGCCACCATCTCCCTATCTGCTGAAGTAATTTTTTCGCTTCCGTTCATCTTTCGAAGCATGATTTTGGCAATCACTCAGAGCCTGCTATTAAAAAGTATCAGAATTCACCTCTCTCAATTTCGGTGGACGTACCTTTGACATAATGATTGTATTGCCTTGCAATCGAGTCTTTTCATCAAACAAAGGCATCTTGGAAAATTGTTATGAAATGCACCGTAAGGCGCGGATCATGGCAGCAGTTATTGCCAAGTTGACATTCAAACCAATAAACAAAATTTGGAAACTCTAAGAACTTTGTGGATTCGTAAGGTGTAGCAGCGCGTATAGTTAGCGCTAATGAGTATAGCGCTCATAAAAGACTTTTGAAAATTTTAAATTGCACAGATAAGGCAAAGTTATTTTCATTACTCAGAAAAAAATTTACTTGTATTTTCCATATACAGGGTGTCCCAAAAGTAAGTACACACTTTTCAATCGCTAATATCTCTCTTCCCATTGGGTCTTTTTCCGCCCTTAAAAAACCATTCTGTAGAAGAGGCTTCATCTTAGATTTACAGTACGGAGCGAATCACCGCACTCTTCATTACTGTAGGATTACGGTAAGAACTTCCAGCATGTGGATTCACTGTAAAATATGCCATCTGACAAATTTTTTTCAAGAAGTCTGGAAAATCGTGTACTGGGGTTTTCGCGCACGGATTCTACTACACAACTTTTTACGAGTGTTTTCAGCTTTTTTGACGATTAATCACATCTCTGACGAATGCTGGGAATTCGGTTATTACGGTTTACTTGGGATAACTTTAGAAAGAAGCATCACAGTAAAGCGGAAAACTCATATTCGAAATCAGCGTCTTCTATTACCATAATATAAGAGTTTTTAGTTTGTTTGGTTTTGTTCCGAGGCAGAATATGGGCTCCAGTGGCCTAAAATCCTTGCCGAAATTCCTACGGTAATCCTACAGTAATGAAGAGTGGTCGGTGATTCGCTCCGTACTGTAAATCTAAGATGAAGCCTCTTCTACAGAATGGTTCTTGAAGGGCGGAAAAAGACCCAATGGGAAGAGAGATATTGACGTTGAAAAGTGTGTACTTACTTTTTGGACACCCTGTATTGCCAGCAGCTTACAAGTGAATGCTCAAAAGTGAAAATGGCCAACCCAAACAGGCTGCTCACCATTAGATGCAGCATAAAACGCTGACTCTAGAACTGTCTTCCTTATCTGCTAAACACTTTTGTAGACGAAGCTATAAACCATTAAAGGCCATTATTTTGCTAAGAAATTGTGCGTGCAAAGTTCGAATTCGGCGGTACAGAGCCACGTTTGGCCTAAGGCTGGGACAAAACATAAAGCTAGATTACTTCAAAAAACCCATACGTAAAGGTGAGCTAGAAGAGCGATAATGTGCTCAATTTCGCCATCTTTATGTACAATTTTTTGCAATAAGACTGCTCATAACTTCGCATACAAAAGCACCTAGCAGAAGCAGCTAGCACAAAGCTCATAACTTCGCATACAAAAGCACCTAGCAGATAAGGAAGTCAGGATTTGAAGTCAGCGTTCTATGCTGCATCGGTTATGCAGCTACTTGAATTAGCCACTTCGATTTCTAATCATTCCCGGGGAAAGTGCCCGAAATCTGAGAAAAATAAAAAGCATAGTAGTCCAGAAAGGATAGTTTAATAGTTATTATTCTTCTCAGACTCACGTAAGATTTGTGAGGTGAAAATATCAGATATCGGACTTTGTTTGAAAATTTCGAAAGGTATCTACAGCAAGTAAAGAAAGCTCTACGTTTTTCTTGGTGGTAGCCGGGAAAAATCCAGTTTTGAATTCGTCTCGAATATGAAGGGGTCCAAACGGTGAAGCGGTCTAAGACTTTTTATTCGAATTAAGAAACAACAGAACAAAATCAAAAGCTCTCTCCTCCGGATGTGACCACAGCTACACATCGTCTTTGTCAGTGACTCAGCTATAACCCTTTCGGACCTGAGTTTTTGCGAGTGAGCCGAGAAGCCTCTCTCCTATTGTTTTTTACTTATTACCATATGAATAACATTATAGCGGAGTTTGGAGTCTGCTTAACCTTACGAACTATTTCTTTTTGATTTTTTAATTTTTTGGTTTTGCGTTTATTTTGGATTTCCAAATCTCCCGCGATACATGTGGACCCGCAAACAGTTAACAGTTACATTTGCTCAGCATCGTACTAAAACATTATGATAATATTATGAATATTTTTTGGCTAATAAACAAGATACTGAAACGGTGCTCAAGCCGGCGCAAATTATTGATTGGTTGAAATCCACTTGTTTTCAGAAATGTACATACTATTGACAGAGAAACAAATGAACACCCGGTCTCGAAGCTACATTTGGAAGGCAAAGGCTATATGAAGCGTTTGAGAGCAATGAGTAGTGAAATGATGTTCTTGCGCCAGTACAGTAGATCTTTGAATTGATGGTGGCAATTGCCACCACCAGGTCCGAAAGGGATAAGTCAGCAGCGCGCGTGTTTATATTGAAGCTGAGAGTGACGGTTAGTCCCGAATCTTTCTAACCATACTGATAACTCAGCTGAGCCTTCCTTTTAGAATTCCTGTTCAAAACAAAGATGCAATTGCGCAATCTTACGACAACATACGCTATGTTATAGGCCCCGGGCAGAGTTCACGCGATTTAATCGTCGCGATTTATCGCGACAAGACAACTGTAACAATGTCATTGCAAGCCGATTATCTTGCATTCCGACTAATAGTTCTCCCATACGACCAACCGTGACTAACTATCACAGCCGAATGAAAGATGTCGACATGCAATGATATCGTTACAGTTGTCTTGTCGCGATCAATCCGACGATGAAATCGCGTGAACTCTGGCCGAGGCCATAGACAAGCAGTAAAACTGAAAATGAGTGACTCGCCCAATTCTAGATGCTCCATAAAAACTCCCAAACCTCCCTATTTTTTCTCAGAAACTCGGTAAAATCCCTGATTGTTTCATCTGAAACTAACTGAGATTCCATCGAAACCCGCTCATAGTGACGGTCGTTGGCTTTTGACAGAATGGCACAACTCCGCACAAACCAGTGACAAGCTCCCGCTTTATTCTTATTTCGCTCTCTCCCTGAAAGAACTTCGGCAGATTGATAGCCAGTTAACAGCCACACTGAACATGAAAATTGATTTTTTATTGCTAGACCTACCTCTCTCAAAACAAAAGTGAGATTTTCGCCGTCTAGGCAATATACATTCTTGTCCATAATCATAGTTGAATGATATAATGAATTTACAGCAGATAACGCATGATCGAAACGACCAGAAGTTCCACCTAATAGAACCACTCGGGAAGCCTGAAATGGATAACAATTTGCGTACATTTGTGTGACTAAGCTTATTTATCCTTGCAATGCTGCATCAAGACTGTCGATTAGAAAAACTGCATTCCAAGTAGGGACATATATGCTGGAAGCTCCCGTATTTGGCGGAATTATAAGTCGGTCCAAAAATTCTTTCCGTTTTTTCATCCCGTCATAAAAACAAGTGGAATTAAGGTAAACAAATGCTTCAACCTTATCCGACGCAGTTTTTCTTCCTCTTTCCATCAGTCATGTTTCGGGATCATTTGCTTTGGTGGTTTCTGAGATAATTGCCGAAATTTCAAACCCATGGTTTTTACCATACCTAACTTTGACAATTTTTCAAAATCTTCACTTTGAATTTTTGGAGAAGCTTTGATAGCAGTTAAGCATAAACAAAGTGTAGTGCACTGCAATTTTCTCGCATCTCTTAGCTTCTTAGCACCTTTTAGGATAACTTTTTCAATTCACTTTAGGGAAATCGCAAAATACACAAACGCTCCGAACACTAACAAGTCGCTGGAATTTGAAACATTCATATCGATTATGATGATACACTAACTTTACAAAGCATCAGAGGATTTGCCGTTTCGAAATATCAAATCTATTCTACGAGTTCAGCATGAGGCGGATTCAAAATTGAATATTATGATTATTATTTGTCACCAAATACTCCACGAAATGGGAAGAAAAATGCCTATCAGAAATAGTAGAGAAAGATGCATCGAATGACACCTTAGTTGTGCTAGTTTGATGTTCTGTGAGTCTTGGTATGACTAAAAGTGGAATTTGATAGCATCAGAAACATAATTTCAAAAATTTTGGAACAGCTATAAGTGTCAAAAAATTTCACTGCACTGCACTTTGTTTAGGCTATCTAAATGCTACAAAGCTACTCCAAAAATTCAAAATGAAGATTTTGAAAAAACTGCCAAAGTTGGGCATGGTAGTAACCATGGGTTCGAAATTTCGGCAATTAAAGGATATTCGTTGACGACAGCCCCGTTTCGTGCATTTACACCCCGCGGGCGTGCTTTTTTGAAGCCTTTCCAGCTTTACAGTACGCTATACGCGCAGGGAATTCGCAGTTCGCAGCATCCCTGTCCTTTAACCTCTTCCGCATTTCTCATTTTTTTTCTCATCTTTTTTTCCTTTTTAATCTTCAATTCAGGCACTTGCTCATCAGTTACTCGTTCTCCTTTTCTTTGAAGTTGTCTCGATCGAGCATCCTAAACTTCTGCTTGGTGGATACTGAAGGAGCAGGAAAAAAGTTTTAGTACAGTTATTGAATTCATGCTCCTTTTTACAGACCATACAAACATTTTCAGAATCGTAAACTATCGTCCCGGCATAGTTAGGGGAAAGAATGTGCTTTCTTCATGACCAGTGATGGCTATCATGCCTTCTACTCAAATAAGACCACTGAAATGTTTATTTTAGCACACCTACATGTCTCCTTGATGTAGAAGTGCTGAAACAGCCACATCAGCAGTCTCTCTTAAGAAAAAAGAAAAATCATTATGAAACACTGAAGAAAACATTGCACTCCCAATCATAGCCACGATATCCGCCATTGCAACTTTGAAGAAAACTCATTATTCCTTCCGATTCTTTTCGGAGCAATGGTTCTGCGTGTATGAGAATGTGTAACTGCCTAAAATGAAAATTAAGGAGAAAAACGATGTGAAATACTCAAACAACAACAAGAGGTTAAAGGACGGGCATGCTGTGAGCTGTGATTACCCCGCGAGCTGCAGCCTACTGTAAAGCTGGAAAGGCTTCAAAAATGCACGCCCGCGATGGTGTAAATGCACGAAACGGGGCTGTCATGAACGAATATCCTTTATCTCAGAAACCACCAAAGCAATTAATTCCAAAACATAACTGGAAACAGAAGATTGCATCTGGTAGTGCTTAAAGCATTTGTCTATCTTAATTCCACTTGTTTTTATGACAGGATGAAAAAATGGAAAGAACTTTTGGACCCATCTACTATATCAAATTTCGAAAAAAGGGTGGGCTGGAACTAAATTCCAAAGAATATTCTATGAAGTCCCATTAAATATTAAATGAAAATAAATCACGCATATTTCTGTAACCTATCCACTCCACTCTCAGAAATTTTGCAACGTTCTCTAGAGGTGGTTCCCCTCGCTCTGCCACTTAAATTTGTACAGATCAAATTGAGAATTATATGCGCCCCGCCAGATGCACTGTAATCAGTCTGACTGGACAAGAGGACCAAATGTCAGAAATTTGTCCAGGAGAGGGGATTGCTTGGAAGGGGCCTTTGTTCGGACTTCCGGAATTTTTGTGGTGTGTGAAGGACTATATGTCGCCGAACATGGGAGGGTCCCGGGCGGATTTCCTGCAGGAACATTTCTCCGTGCATGTGCAAGGGGATGTATTTGTGGGTGGAGGATTATGTCGCCGAATTTGGAAGAGTCCCGCGCGGATTCCCTGCAGGAACGCATGTCCGCGCATGTACAAGGGCGCGTATTTGTCGCAAATGACCGCTGGGACCGCCCTTTTTCGGCGACATATAGTCCTCCACCCTGTATTTGTCGCAAATGACCGCTGGGACCGCCCTTTTTCGGCGACATATAGTCCTCCACCCTGTATTTGTCGCAAGAGACCGCGGGACCTGCCCCTTTTCGGCGACATTTAGTCCCCTACCCTTTTGTGGTGCTAAAATTTCAGCGATTCAAACTGAGAGTTTTTAAGCCCGCTAGGAATAAACTGAAAATTCATTTCCAATAAGCCACCGCGGCTACAGATCCTTCCTTTGGTTTGTATTAAGCGTCATGCCACTGATTCTATGTAGCACATTCATAAAACGTGATTTGTGCAGGTACTATCTGAGCATAGGCTGTGTTGATGATGTATCTCTTTGCTAAGTGACGATATGCTGTTCTGCGTGATTCCAAAGACTTCTATTTTATTTATCAGTAGTTGCATTCATTCGTGTCTTTTTACATCTGTATTCAATACGACCAAGGCATCCATAATAAGCACTTGTAATACGAAACGAAAAGGGCATATCGGTTGAGCGGCCGCGCGCGTAGCTACAGCGTTGTGGACCCAACGATTTATGCGCTCTGCGGCTAACAAAAACGCGTTTGCGTTCAAAAGTTTGCGCTTTCGTCCGGCAGTAACCTTTACAGGAAATGTCGTACCTACAAACTCAACTTTAGTTCATTTTTGAAGTCATCGGCTATGTAGTCCAGACATTTGGTGAGATCGGTTTTATCTTGGTCCGGCGCATGTACCAGTAAACATCGAGATTTCAGGCGCTCGGCAATCGTGGGCTGAATCGAATCCATGTCGCCGATGACAACATCAGGTGTTGCTAACTCCGGTTTCCTAACGCAATTCAGCAGGATATTCAAACAAGAATGTGAAGAGGAAACTCATCCAGACGTTTGCAAGAGATTGGTGCAATCACTCACCTCCCGGTGACTCTGTTGGCGCCGCCATCTGTGCAGTATCGTTTTTGAGCTGCATTCCACAATCGACTCCAAACCGGACGTTCCGCTTCAGGTGCGCCATTGAGCCAGACGCAAGCATTCTTTGCTAAATAAGTACGTAATACAGAAGCTCTCATTCGCCTATATTGCATTAGATTCATTGCTACAGTCTGACCCAATCCCAATCAGGCCAAAATTGGCATGGCGGGAGTCCGCGTCGCTAGGGGTTCGCGGTCCCGCCCACGGCCTGCTTCTCTGCTCTCTCTCCAATCCTTTCGCTCTCTCTGAAGCGCGCATATACAGCGCAGACCGCTAGCGCTGGGAGCGCGCGAATTTATGCCGACGGTTCGGCCTGATCCCGATTGAAGCAGACTGTACAGTTGCACCCATAATATTTCGAAGCCACAAGAAGAAAAACAATCTGAACTCTGGTCGTGGACAAAAGCAGAAAAGGTCGAAGCTGTGCTACATGACTCTGACGTCAGCAATGATTCTTCTATATTGACTAGTCGGTAACTAAATTTATATACTAATTCGAAAGCCAATGCCACATCCTCTGCATTTTTTCAAACAGTCGGTGACCAAGTAGCTAACCTACCGTAGTCCAAACTATCACTCGTATCAATTTGCATTTGACCTTTGAAAATGACGCTCGCACAAAAATCATGCTCTCATATAATCATCCATAATCAAGTCGTTAAACCCACTGAGCTGGTGTTCGCCGCTGTTCACGTATCGTCGATTCGTTGACCGCACGGAATGCTCAAACCCTGCGGACCACGCGCGTTGCGGCTGAATTGTCGTGAGAGCACGACTTGTATAATGGCGAATTTGTATTGTGGCAAGCGCTTTACCTCGCGGAGCGTGCTCCGCATGATGTCGGTCCGTGTGGTCAACGAATCAGCTATAAACAAGTATGGCTTGTGCCTCAGCACACAGGTTTTCTCTTCTTTTATTTCTTTTTTTTCGCATGGTATAGTCGATTCCTTGACCTCACGGACTGGACATTACTGCGGAGCCCGTGCCGCGAGGTAAAACCTTGCTTCAATACCAATTCGCCCTTGTACAAGTCGTGCTCTCGCGACAATTCGGCTGCGCCGCGCGTGATCCGCAGGGTTTGAGCAGTCCGTGCGGTCAACGAATGGACGATACCTGGCGAACACAACCGAAACGGTCACTGTCCATTAGTGATTGTATACGAGGAGAACAACAAGGATGACGCATTTTGAACTCTGCTACCCTGATTAGAAATCCATAACATACTTTGCATTAAGTGACCGCCAAATGATGTCTTCGACCCGGCAGAAATGACGATCACTGTAGTCATCTGCGGTAATACAACACTCGCGCGCAAACGAGTGCGCGTAGTAAAACTAACTACGCGCTTCATGGCGATTTTATACTTCGACAACTCATGGCATTTTGTTCACGTGCCGCAGGTATTTCGTGGCTCTTTGGTGACCGTCACATATGATGGACTATTTGATGAAACATCCCAAGAAAGCATCAAATATAGCCATTCAGCACATTTGCCGATGACATATTCTTAAAACTCCTCCTTCATCACTTTCAACTTTCACATTGACAACAAGGGCTTTAGAACGTTGAAAAGAGCTCCACATGATTTGACATTTACTACAGATTTGGTTCACACATAGACAAGGCGAACTCAACTGAACCTAGCGCGAAGCACCCTGTTGTCAAGATTCCTTCATACTACGCCGCAGAACGCGGCGTGCTGCGGTGCACGCCGCAAGACGCAGCAGCCTGCCGCAGCATGCCGCTTCCGGCGGATGGCCGCTGCGGTCGCAGTGAAAATATACGCTCATGGCAGCACAGCTTCGCCGATTATGGATGTATCTCTTTATTTGCTGCACGTTCGTTTTCTCCGAGGGTGCCCTTCACATCGAGCGAGCGTATGTTTTCACTGCGACTGCAGCGGCGCATGCCGCAGGACGGGCGTGCAGCGGCAGGGTGCTTCCTGTGGCGTGCGCCGCAGCACGCCGCGTCCTGCGGCTAGTATGAAGGAACCCTTACGGCACATAACGGCTATTATTAGACATGAGAAGCATCACCGAATGGCCAGTAATCAAAAAGCCGATCAAATTTGGTCGACCATCTGTAACACTGTGCAGACACCCTCTTCATTCCGCTCACACAAGATGCGAAGCATAGATTATGCGGCACATAAGTAGATTTGCAGCAATGGACCTTTAGTTTGAAAAGAAAAAAACACCACTGGTAAAATCAAAAAGTATATAAAAGTCAATAAGACTACAAAAATATGATAGCACTAACCAGCCTCTAAAAGACAATTCAATGGTGAAAATTTCCGAACCATTTCGATATATGCCTGAAGTATAAGAGAATCTTGAAGTATGACTTTTTTGTTCTTTCTGTCGTTTCAAGCAGGAAGGTAATGTTGCAGACCCAACAGAATATAACAAAAAACAGCTCCACCAAGACTTTATTATTCAAGCACTAACACCACAACTTCACGGACAAGGTATTGCAATGTGACCGTCTAAAGCTATTTCTGCAGACAGCTTGCACTAAAAACTCGTGGGCTGCATATTACAATACGGCCACATACGCGTCAGGTTGAATACCGCAAAAGAACAAACAGATAGACCTAAAACAAAGGTGACGGCAATACTATGCAGATAGAACAACACCGAGACCACAAATGCTCAAACAAGCCTCATCCAAAGAGCAGTAAAAAGCGCCAAACAATGACTTGTGATAAAAAGATCAATTGCGAAACCTGTTACCCTCACCAAAGAGTGGAGGAGGAATAAATAAGTCTATAAATAATGTATGTCAGATATGCGATTATACCTCACAAAATAACTGCTTGATAATTCAAAGTAAATTTGGCGAGAAAGTTGATAGAAAGCACATAACACACATAAACAGAAGGGAAACTTCATCATTATATTACGTTTACAAAATAGAAATCTCTACGATGGCAAACAAAATCCGTATCTGTCTACAGATTCTCTTCAGCTTCACGCTCCTCTTCAAGAATTTTTTCGAATGAGAATGGCACGAATAGATGACCCAATCCGCCATAGAACTTCGATTGGAACTCAACCCTGGAAACAGAAGAGAGGTACTCAAGCCTTCGTATTCAAGTAAGTATGAAAATCAGTATAAATACAATAAGTATCTGAAATAATCAAAAATAAAGCATTGTTCGGGTGGATCAATGACTCTTGTTCAGATGTATTGTTGTTCCGAAGATGTCAAAAAAGCGATTTGTACAATTGTGAAGTACTATATGACAACACCTCTTGCGGCTGGAAGAATAGTGGGTAACAGAATAACCCACCAAAGATTTCCAAAGAAATTAAGATTTCAAACAGTCGAATAAACAACGTGCAACGGAATGCACATATTTGAATGAATGCTGGCTAAATCAAGTGAAGAAACCATTTCGGCAATAAGAGGTTACACCGCCAGAGGCCTACGCAGACATATGACACAAATTATGGCATTTTATGCGCCACAGTCTGTTGTTTGCGCAGGAGAGCATTGGCGGAGTGATTGAACATGCTATCAAAAAATCGAATGCCAGAAATTGACCATGTTGCAACGATTATGCTTGCAAGTCAATGATGCACGATCACTTCAACAGTGGACGCCGAAAGTCGATTTTATGGGAATGGTCTTGACAATAGAAGGAATTATTCACAGCGTTGCTCAAATAAAGAGCACTAACAGAGAGAATGCTGCGCTGCCGACTATAATATACAGTGGATAACTTACCAATGAAGACGCAGTGCATGCAAGAATGCTGACAATCCCTCCATAAGCACCAGAATGAATATTGTGAGAGAGCCGAATATGAAGAAAAGAACGTAAGTTGCTACAGCTCCGTAATAACCATCAAGACGGAAAGCATGACGGAAAACCATGGTCCATAATACATCCGAAAGCTCTGTAAGTATTTTTGCTAGCTAATCGATGCAGTGAAAGCAACCAAAAAAAGTGATGAAAGTAAGCAAAAGCTGCAATAACACCAGTAGACCAAATGATGATAACTCACGCGCATGAGCAAGTGAAAGAGCCCAAAGACGCAGGTACGATGCCGTATGTGAAACGCATCCAAGGACAAATTCGATCGTATGGATAGCTTGGTATACCATTATCTCGCCGAAATCGAACTAGGAAAGTAAAGTGATAATGAATCGCAAGGAACTTTGGAGAAAACTTCCTTTATCACTAGAGTAAAGCAGAACTCACTGGACCAGAGTCATGACCGTGGCCTCCACCACCATTGCTTGCAGCAGCGGGCTTAGGATCAGCATGAACAACTTCTGCGTCGTCTCCATTCATATCCGCACGCACACTCTGAAAATGACTAAGGTTAACATAACGAACCATGGCACCGTACAGGTCATACCATGCAAAACATGAGGTAAAGTGAGGTGAAATGAGTATAAATTGTAAATAGTGTAAGCCACAAACTAAAGTGATGGAGAGAACATAAAACACTGCACAACGTAAAACAGCACGTCACGACGGCGAAATTTACCTCACAGATGGTATCGACAAGCAGTCATAGCTGCTGGAGGAGCGGTGGTGTTGGGTGAAAGCACAAAGAGGTCGTTTTGCGCAATGCATCAATATGGGACACAAATGGATAGGAAAGACTTTTGGACATCAAAAGGAGGAGGGAGGAGCCCTTTCATAAAACCAGAGGGAACCCAATTTGAAAAGAAAATAAGCGACAAGGGAGGTAATGACCAGAATCGGTCTTCAAAAATTCGCTCCACCAGCCAATTTGCCGTCTCGACTTATTGTAATGGTGGAATCGATCAATTAATTTTTGAAGACTTCTAAGTTTGAGTGCTGTGTTCATACTCCTTGACAATAGAGGTATTGGAAGTTTGTATTGCACTAGGGCTGAGTGCAAATGTAAATAAAGTGAGAAACTTCAACGAAAGCCACAATAAGAATCATTAGCATTTCTAAAATTCACTGCATAAAAATACGTCAAACCAGGTTACGAGTTCAGCTTACTCTAGAAGGAAAAGCTATGACTTCCTAACAAGCCCGACTACCAGACAAACTGGGCTAATAATTTTTGTTTCAGAGAAACTAAATAATTTGAACAAAGAAGAAATGAACACAGCGAATACCTTTGAAGCCCAATCAGTATTTATAATACTGCAATCAGAAAAGCTAACAAAAGTTATCTAGCATGATAGATTGCCACATTACGGACCTCATCGCGCAGAATCTGATAGTTTTCATCGACGGATCGACTACGGCGGCGAAGAAGCATAGGCTTGGCGAAGAGCATCAGAGGCACCTGCACCACCGCTACCAACAACAGCACCCGCTCGACGATACCCTGGAATCTGATTTAGCAAGCATAGCATCAAATTCACTTTTCGAATTTCGAATGTTGCTTTGAGGTGATTTAAATATCGATTTGATGTGCGCAACAAGCTGCCAGTATCAGATATTCTGGTAAATTTCACCGTGTGCGAATGCCTTTATTCGCACACCAACCAGTTGCGTATGGCCAGCTCGCCGTTCCTTATCCGCTTTCCAAAGATGGTATGGTTTTGCAAATAGCATTATTGGCACGCAAGCCATTGCAATAAGAACGAAGAGCGGTTGGAAGAAACCCTTAACGATGTAATCGAATTGAATTGAGAGTAAGTACTGTAATCTCCTTGCATCTGTTTGTAAAAGGGATATTTTTCAGAAAACGCATCATTTCTATACTGTCCGTTTATTTTCACTTGCAAAAGTAAGCGCACTTTCGGTTCTATTCTAGTTCTAAGGCAGCTGAAACGCTAAAATTTCAATGATCACAGAAGAAAGTAAAATGTGCTACAGCGTACCTGTCCAGTATACCAGTTATTGAGATAGCATTGGAATTTTTGTGTACCGTCCTCCTCCACAAAACCTTTTCCCATAGTCTTGAACATGAACATATTGATGAGTCCGTTTAGCAGTGATGGTGCACAATTTGATCCAGGATATTTGTAACCCAGTACGGATTCTTGGGGCTGAAATTAGTGAAGCTTTGACCACTGAGCAATTGTATGCAATTCTATGACCGACCCCCGCAGTGAACCATATCCATTTGGCGATAATCTCCAAACAAAGATAAATGAATATACTCGATAAGAAGATCATCTGTGGTATGAACATAAATTTGATGTCCAGATCGGATTTGAAATATCTGAATGTGAGAATGACAGTTATACAGGAATTAAAATAAATAAAAGACTTAAAAAACGACAAGAAAGTCCTTTTCAATTTTCACACTCACTTGTAATTTTGGTAACTCAGCAACACACCAAATGTCATCTGCGCTATGCCCAAGATCACCGACATCTTCATTTTTAGAGAATTTAGGAAGTTTAGTTTATTCGATTCCGCCAGGTTCCAAACTGGATCAACTCCGATCGGATATGGGCCACCAGCAGACTTGAACAATGCAGATTTGTATGCTTGTATGCTTACGATGGCCAAAAAACGAGCTGAACTGGAAACTCACATCATACGCCTTCTCTGGAATCAACATCAACATTTTCTCCGGGGGCAACTGCAGTCTATCGATTTCTTGGATATCGTAGCAATTTGTCCAACCAGAGCCAAAAATGTTCAGACTCTTCGCAAATGCATCATTGTATAGTAGTCCTGTGTAGACAGAGAAGGCTCCCATCAGGAATATCACATATCGTCCACCAAAAAATGTTTGAAAAATCTGAAAATTCAATTCACGCCAAATGATATGCGGATATCCAACACCTACCTCATCCTTGATGCGAGCAGCTTCAAGCTGCTTCTCTTTTAGAATGAAGAAGAGGGCAGCCATGAGCATGATTGCGCCATGCCCCATATCGCCAAACATCACTGCGAACAGAAATGGGAACGAAATCATCGTATAGGGCGCTGAATCGTAGCGTTGTAATTCAGAAGCAAAACAACATATAAAATGCACTTATTTGGAAAGCCTACCTGGATTGATTTCGCGATAAGTAGCTATCCCGTAAGCGTCTACGATGTTTTGAAAGCCCTTCGTAAACTTATTAGTCTTATGATAAGTTGGAGGAGCTTCTGTCGTCTCCATTCGATTTAATATAGATGGGACTTGGCTACCGCTTTCCTCCTAAACTTTAGCATACAACCAAGATCAATTTTTGCCAAATCAAATTACCGTTCCCCTTTTCAGTGCCATCTTGATACGTTCTAATTCGCTGACTGGGCACCAACACTCAGCAATGAGGCATTTCTGCAAGATTACTGATGAAAATTCAGAGTTTAAATGGCCAATTAAAAATATTTATTATTTTGACCCTTTCTCTTCTACCCTCCCATTCAAATACACTCTACCACTTGATCAGCAATTTCAGTCGAGGAAAAAAAATTTTTAAATCGCTAATTGAACGATGCTTATTCGAGTCTGAAGCATGAAGGAAGTCTCACATGTGTGACATCGATGTTGAAGAGATTGAGTGTATGATAGATAGACTTGATCTTTCGAACTTTTGTTAACCACATACGCACATTCTTCGAAGCAGCCACCTGAGAAAATTTATCGGGTGATGAAATAAAGAAAAACCTGGTGCTTGAACTCACTAAGACACGATGACGATGGTCTTGAGTCTGTCCCAACACAGTTTTCAAATCTTCTATTCTAGTCATAACTCCAATAGACATCTCCCGACGCTCTTGTGGCGTATCTGGGCAGGGATATAGCGTTGCACGAAATCTGAAACTTGTTTTAATGAAGAAAAACTAGGTCGGTTTGAACAAAGTGTATTTGCTGTGATAGAAAGCAAGAAAAGCTTCCCATAAAAGTATAAAGTATTCGCCTTTGAGCGCGGAATTTTGCAAATAATGATTTCAAAAAAAAAAGACGAGAAAAACCTTGGCAAAGAATGCTAAACTTACGCGTCTTTAGATTACCAAGTGGTGTACAAAAAACAACACATCAAGTGTACTTAAAAGCAGATGAAACTAACCCCTCACAGATTTTCTTGACTTTTGTCTTGAGTTGATCACCTTGGAAGAATATTATAAAAACAGTCTTGTTCACCGGTTCTCCCTGAAAAATGCATTAAGCAAATAGTCCAGCCATGTCTTTGGCTTTAAACCAACCGTAACGGTATCATTGAGAACATCATCAATCTCGGAAGTTCGCAGGAACACATTTCCACGGCATGCACGCCATAGAAGTCTCTCAAATGCCGGAAGCCGTTCCCTGCGGATGACTCCAGCGACAAACCTGAACAGCGACAAGACTAACAATTTTCAACGGAAAATTGCATCATCTATGCATTCAATCAGTCCAACACCCACACTACCACGACATAACGACCAAATGATCATGAACTACGCTGACGTATAAGATTTCTTCCGGTCGTGTCTTTGCCTTGAGAACGTGTATGATAATCACAAAAAACTGATGCAGCGAGATTCAGCACAAATGCTGCCGACAAACTCCAACTCTTACAAAACAATCAAGTTGTCAGGCTTCATCTGCTGTAAATTGCCGCTGACCTAACCGGAAGATATCCTAATTTTGATGTCAAAAATTTGATCCAAAGAGAGCAAATACCCAGGTTTGAGATTCGTGTGCAAACTTCAAGTTAACATCATTTGCGTACCGTAGTTGGACCTTGAGCGGCGCGTAGTCGTTCTGGGTCTCTGCATGGTGGTCGTCTTCAGAAGTTGCCAATAGTTCCTCATGCTACAGAACGAACACGACTATTCACCATAGTGCATTTTCAATGTGCAGACTAACACATGTTATCAAAAGGAAAAACTCATACTCTGGGATTCCCTGAGAAGAAATGCAGAGGCTTTTAAACACTTTTGCTAATCTGCTGAGCATCTCTAGAGAATAGAAAAATATGAGTTGATCCTCCTTGATTCAAAATTTTTTTGGAGGATGCTTCAAAGACGTCATGCAGGTGATGCACGAGACGATGCATAAGCAAAAGGAAAGAACAGACACAGAACAAGCAGGAGTGTTCACTAGTTCACGAGATTTGCGTACCACACCCACCCAAAGTTATGGAAAAGCGGTCCAGTAGTATGCGGCGGTGCACCAGGACCCGATGTTAGCTCCACAGTCTCCGAATCAGTTCCATCACCAGGCGGGACCATCGTGTCTGCACCCGCCTGAGTTGCATGTTAGTACCTCATATAAACAACATGAACACAGTATTTTTGCTGCCTTCTAAAAAATGGGTAATAAGAGTCCCTTCATACCGCGCCGCCGCTAGCCGCTTTTGTGCTCTATCCCAGTATCCCCATGCCAAAATTGAAACCATGAATCTTGCTCAAACATGCTTGGTGGAGTTGCTCAACATGCTAATTACAAATAACTTATAGGCTGCTGCATGACGAAGGCGCAATAAACGCCTCTTTATTAACCGCAGAGCGCATGAGGTGAGGGATCTACAACGGTGAGGATACGCGCGCGTCGCGTTCACGTCTGCTCAACTAATATCGCCATTGCGCCTTCGTTATGCAGCAGCCTTCAATCTTTTTACGCTATGGAAAGGCCTTGGAATACTGGGATAGTGCGCTGAAAAGGCTACGGGCAGCGAGCGGCTGCTGCCGCCGCTGTAGGCAAGAAGCATGGTTTTTCTCTTGTTTGGGAAAAGTTTGCGAGTGCAGAATCGAACAACAGTACATCAGCGCCCAGTTAATCAGTCATGCAAATGAAATAGAAAGGGATGTTCAACAAACATGATAGGAACAAGTCTTCACCGATTGGAAAAGAAGAATCATACATGTGGCGTACAATTGTACCTATCAAGTGAATGCGTCTGCAGGTGCTAAACTCAAAATCCTCCCTCATGTACAGTTCATTACACATGTTCACTGTGTAATTCATCTCCAAGAATGCGCTGCTTGCATTCTACTGTTGTTTCACAAGCACTTCTGCGTGATAAAGGAAATCGTGTTGGGAAGTGAGCTACAAATGGATGTATTGTATGCGTGGTGACGATGTAGTTTTAAACAAAAGGTTACACAGAGGTATTGACTTTAGCATGGTCCCATTATTCCCCCTCCCGCGCCCACTTCGCTTACAATCGCTTGAGAGCAGGTCTCAAGCGTGGGATTATATCTTTCGTGAACATTAGGGAAGAAAAGGACAAGAAAGCAAGCGAAAGAAGCTCTTGAGCCATCCCACATAAAAAACAGTAAGTTCTGCCAAGTAGCAGTGCGAATTCTTTTACCACAGCAAGCACAGTAGAAAGTGGCGAGAGAAAATTCAAACAAACAAATTACGACGGATAAAGGAACAAGCAAAAGGACTGTTCTTTCAAAAATACCAGATGGTGCGCGAGAAAACCACGTATCATGCAAAATCGCGGCTTAAACCATGAAATAACAATGCTAGTGATGAAATATGGATTCTTATATAATGGAAGAACACACTGCAACAGCTTTCCCTACATGTAGAGAGTTTGCTGCTACCACAGATACAGATACACAAAGCGTTGAACCAAGCAGAAATAATAATAAAAAAAACTTTGTGGGTGTTGGACTAGTTGAATGGTTACATGCAGTGAATGAGCCGAATGGAAGCCCACTCGCATTGAGAACGAATCCTTGTATCCGTAACTCAAATTGGAATACACACTTCACCACCACCTACCCAAGTCTGAGCATGGTCATCGATAGCCCAGGTCCAGATGGCATTTCTTCCTCGGCGGTTACGATGAGGGGCTCTTGTTCTCCGCTTATTGTCCTCGTTCTAGTTGATTCACCGAAACGTCGCCGATCGTGCTCCACCTCACAAAGCGCCAAGTCATTACAGAAGAGCACAAGGATGTTTTCAGGTAAGTGCACCTCCATCACTCCCTAGCGTATCTTTGCAGCACCGCAAAATTACGCTATTTGACAAAAAGCCACACGGTACTAAATGGAGCATAACTAATGAACTCCATGAAATTATGTTACTGGACACAAATCGATAAGCACCAAACAGCAAGTGCAACGCGGAGTAATTTGCCGAATCGCGGATCAAAATTTCATCAGATGCAGGTCAAAGACTCTAGTGTGCTTTGAACACAAGTTCTGGTCCTATAATCAAAATTCATCTATTAAATATTTGACCTTGCCAATATCCCTTCTAATAACAGAGGTTAGGGTAGATAATAGATAACTGAGGAAAGGAGCTTAAAGGCAGTATATCGGCAGAATGAGACCCGTGAAAAAACAAGGTCACAGGGTAGGAGCCCCCCTATGGAACCTATCGGCCAAGGTCCGATCTTTCTCTGCCACTTCTAACCCCCGAAATTTCAAAGCGAAAGCAGCGCTCATCTCCTGTCCTCTCCGAACCCGCCCACCACATGGACGAGTGAACGCGAAGCCCGTCATGGCGAAGACGCAGAGTCGTTGCGGGACCTCATGCTTGTAGCATTGCGGCTGGCGCTCTGACCGCGGAAGTCACTCGTCCATGGGGTGGGCGGGTTCGGAGAGGAGAGGAGATGAGCGCTGCTTTCGCTCCGAAATTTCGGGGGTTAGAAGTGGCAGAGAAAGATCGGACTTTGGCTGATAGGTTCCATATGGGGGCTCCTACCCTGTGACCTTGTTTTGTCACGGGTCTCATTCTGCCGATGTACTGCCTTTAACGCTCTTGCACGATCTGGCTGGTAAATGCGTAAAAATGCTCTAACAGTGTGGTGGATAAATTTTCAGAGTTGATAAAGAACGATGGGGCAAGTAAAAAGGCATGTACATAAACGCTCAAGCTAAAAAAAACCCTGATTGACCTTCGGACCCTTCTGGCATAAACAATCCTTGCCATACATCAGCTCGCCCTAAGGACAGGTGCGCTCGTATTCATTCAAAGATGCGGTTGCGATCCTTCCCGTTCAAGCCGTTGCGAGCAACCAAGATTACGAAATATCGAAAAAAATACTTGTCAGAGAGTGGTTTTGACCACTGAAACGGCCGCTGATATTGAGTTGAACAAACAACATATGTTAACCAAAGAAATCTGCGATTTCAATTTTAGCTGCAGTATATGGTGTGTTCGCCAAAGTAAAGATTAGTCATAGCCGCCCCCTTTAAGTCAAAGATATCAGATCTATTGCATTCAATCACAAACCAGATCTAGCCAGTGAGAGTGCGGGACATCTTGCAGGATTAGATCAAGCACATCAAGAAAGGGACAGGGTAGTATGATCACACAGTATCACATGCACAAGCGTAAGAAGAAATAAAGCTAAAGAGGTGAAACGGTGCAAAAGCAACCCATACAAAGACACTATGGCAGTAAAAGACACGCACCTCTTCGAAAAACGTTTGGGTCTTTCTGAGTATGTGTTTCAATTCTGTCAATTCAGAGAAGTTTTTCTTGAGCGTTTCTTCATTTCTGTTCACTTCACGGAGTTCATTCTCAAGTTTTTCGAACGTTGCCTGAATGATAAAACAAAAATACTATGTGGTAGGGTGACGATATTATCAAGAAGAAGATGAACTCGATATACCTCGAGATCGATCATTTCACGAGGTTGAGGAGCATCCGGATTTTCTCCAGTGTCTAACATTGGTATTTGATCTTTTTTGATTTCCCTCTCCAGGTACCCTAGAAGGATTCATCAATTAGGCCGCGGCTTTAAATCTTCCCGTGCAACAAGGATTGAAAGATATCATGCTTTGTGCATAATTTTGACTCTTTATAAGCAAGCAAAATAAAACAGTTACGCACTGCGCGCTAAGACCTGTCAAAGAGCGCATAATTATTATACCACATATAGTAATTGTAGATTTTTATGGGAAATAGGATACTTACTTAGCTTGCGCTCCATTTCATCGCAACGTCGAACTTCGTTCACATACTTCCGCTGGAAAGCACTCGTGTCCGGATTCAACTAAAATGTTCCAAATATAAAATGAGTTTTCATATTTGAAAATAAATTCTGCCGACTAGGTCGCATCTAAACTCTTGTTTGCAGTTATGAAAAAATACCATTCAAAGATGTTTCGCTGTATTTTGTTATGTAAATCACTCGAAAAGAGAACGTAACAATATTTTTTTGCCATTTCTTGACCATAATGTCAGTAACTTGAAGAAAGCACTAGTTGTATCCCAACGAATGGAGGAGAGGATGATGCCTAAGCGCTTCATCACCTGCTGTTAAGTACTGTCTAAAGTTTAATCCACTACAAAAGTGTATAATATCGATCCTAAAAGGACCAGATACTACAACCATTTCAACATTTTGATCCGTCCACACAGCCAATGAGAAAGGAAGTGTTGTAATGAGCTCTGCACTAAAGAGCTTGTTCCAATAAGTAACACTCACATCTCTGAACTGTACCAGACCAAGTTCTCCAAGTTCGGCGACGCATTGATAAGCTGCCTCGGACTGAAGAAAAAGCTGTGCTAATGTCATCTGCTCACTCCGGTAAATACCGGGTTGGTCCGGTTCAGGTTCCGTCATTTTGTACTCCGCCGCTGAAAAGGTTCAAAACGTTATCATCAATACAGCATGACGCCAATAAACGCACTATGTGAATTTTGACGAAACTTCAATGCTCTGAAGCGAGAGACACAGTGAAAGAAGTATATGTAAGATACAAGGAGCATGAAGCAACAACATCGGAGAATGATGAAGCCGCGCGACAAGTTCCACGAAAACATCCGAGCGGGCGCAATTGCGGACGTGATCAATCAATGAGGACAACGAGAAAAAGTTCGAGAACTGAGCATTTCGTAATAGCAATTTCCGATTAAACATGATAAGCAGTGCAAATCTTGCGCAATGAATGCGAAAAACTGGTGGAAGATATACCCCAGAACAGATTTGGGCTTTAAAAGCAATGGGAAGCAATTGCCGCCGGCGAATCCAGCCGCCGAAGCTGGAGAAATAGAAATCAATTGCACATTTGGGAGGAGAAAGCCGATATGTGGTGAGGGGAGTGGCTCGCCGAGCGCCGAATGCGCTTGCACGCACTACGTCGCGAGTTCGCGCGCACGAAGTCGATGCACGGCGCTGAATGAATCACTCGATAACTCATCAGAAACCTGCTCGTGTCAATCATGTGACGCACTTGAATATTTTTATTATGTGTGCATACAAACAGAAACGGCATTCAACTTTAACACACAGCAGCAGAAGCCCATTTTCCACCTACAAACCATCAAAGTCGAAAGCGGCGAAAAGCTCGGAGAATAATCGATACGCTAAAACAAGCTTCATTATGGTTAAGGACAAGTCATCCCCGCGCCCAGGGCCCGGCGCAGATCGTATGGAAGCAGGCTGAACTTCGTTTTTGGGACGAAAAAGCAAAGGGGATATCGTTATTATGGCCATAAACTGCGACTTTTTTTTAGTCGACGTTTCGTTTTTTGAGGGTTTTTTACGTTTAGGGCTGATAGTCAAAGGCCATAAATGTGGCTACCTACCTTTCGATCGTTTTAACATGTCAGCTTTAAAGAAGCGCCTCAAACTGGTGGTATTAACGTGTTAAAACATCGAAAGACAGCCACGTTCATGGTACTACGATTCATGACACGCAAAGACTGGGCGCTGTTGCGTCCGGCCAAGATGGTTCGTGCTGGGAGAGGCAGCAGATGGTAAAAGAAAAGAAAGAGCACTGGATCGGAGAGACGCCAATGTCCGAAGTATTTGCGTGCTATAAATCGCCCATACTATGGGAACATCTTTGGGGATCAACCACATGTATCGTTCCGCAATAGAAGCACACTGTTTTCATAGTTCAGCGAAGGTGTTTCAATAATCCCAACGTTCGCATGTGTGCCGCGATTTCGAAACATAAGCAAATAGAAACATTTCATCACTACATCAATGCATAGGCTGCTGCATGACGAGTAGATTTAAATGGGACCCATTATCTTTGGCCCTGGCCAGACTTCGCTGAAAAGCGCCCAAAAGCGCTCAAAAGCGCCCAAAAGCGCCCGAATCTCTCTGGTGTCTCTTCACTTTCTAGTGTGAGGAGAGATGAGAGAGAGTGAGGAGAGGTTAGAAAAGTTTGGGCGCTGAGCGCTTTTGGGCGCTTTTGAGCGCTTTTGGGCGCTTTTGAGCGCTTTTGAGCGCTTTTGCGCGCTCCTGAGTGAAGTCTGGCCAGGCCTTTTGGGCGCGAACGCGGCTTTATTAGCCGCAGAGCGCAAAATTCACAAGGAGAGGATACGCGCGGGCCGCGTTCGCGCCCGCTCAACTAACACTGCTATTGCGCCTTTGTCATGCAGTAGCCTTTACTTCTAAAATGTGTAAATGTGAGGTTTTGCTGTTAAGAGTCGAATTTGGCTTATTCCAATTCACTGCTGAGTATGCTGCCTAGATATTTTGAACAACTCACTATACTTTCTTGTTTAACAGATTGCAGACCAAAGCAGACTTCTAAGAATTATATGGGGTTTGTCTCCGCAGCAAAGCCATGGATTACACGCGATTACATGTTTTGTGTGCAACTGCACATATCGAAAAATGCGACTCGACTGTAAGTGGCTGCCTTCTGGAACATTTAGCAAGAGAATGATGAACATTTCTATGATGATCACTTTTTAGAATAGTCCGTCATATATTGTGCTGTCCCATTCTCGATAAACAGAATTCCCAAGTTATGACTACATTTTTTACCAGTTGAAAAATTCAATAAAAATTATCCCAGCATGTGGATTTGACGTTCAGTACGCTTGAATTTGCTATTCCACATCAAAAAGCAATTTTTGCTTGAGTTAAAAAAATATTATTGCGGGATGTATTAATTGAATTTCGGTGATCGAAAATGCTAGCAGTCTTAACGAAACATTCATGCACAACGTCAGTTTAAGGGATTGGAACAAATAGTCATACAGAAACCAAGGAACTTAGTTTCAACTGACGGACTGAAAATCGCTGCGAATTTGGGTAAGCTCGTACAGAGCCCTGCGCAATTTTGACATCCTCCCGAATCCAACATAGAGGAAATTTGTGAATGGGAATAGAATAACAGGGGATGGCATGCTTTGGTAAATAGTAGTCTACTACTTCATGAAGAAATTAATCAGTAGCAAGAAGAAAAACGAGTAAAAATGATGACCATTTATCGTGCGACCTTTTGGCAATAATGACAAATACTACCACATAGACATGATAAGGTGGTGGACTCTGATGAACTTTTGGACGTGATTGATAAGAGGACAAGAAGATGATGAAAGGCTCTTAGTTTGATTCTTCTTCATTTGCAATGAGGTTGAAATGTCATATTAGGAATCTATCGCAATCGCAAGAATCTATCGCATGGTACTGGACTTTGCTTATGTCCTCAGAAAATGATGGGATGATTTTTCCTTGAAGAGAGAGGCGAATTGGAAACTGATTAAAAACGGTAGCAGCAATGTTTTTCTCTGCAATGCTAGAAGTACCACTTAAGTTTCAACGGTTAATGGGATAAAAGCGAATTTGAAGGTACGGTGCTGTCACTGCACTCAGTCTCTGCGCGCGATAAATCGCACATGCTATATGTTAAGCCCCGGGCACACCTCACGCGATTTCAGCCGCGACGCGATTTGGCAATACTTCTCCTGTTTATAACTCATCGTAAACACTTTGTAAATGCACAGAAGATGACGCATTTTGTCGATCTGCGGAAGTTGTACATACTTCTGCATTTATAGTCTGCAGGTGCTGAATTCGAAGAGATCTGGCAGATTGCCAGATCGCGTGGCGACTGAAATTGCGTGGGGTATGCGAGGCTTTCGTCCCGAAAGTAATGTCGCTTTTTCAGATGTACGCCACATCTATTGCAACAAAGATTTGTAAGAGCTCTTGGTAGCATCCAATGCAGCACTTCATTCTCTTTCTTATGGTTATAAAAACATTGCATAATATTTGATGAGCTCTTGAAAAATTACCAAAATCTGCAACTCATGCTTTTTGGGAAGGCATTCACACTTTTATGAAATTTTATAACAACCCACGGGAGGAGTCCAAGTAATGGATGGATAGAGCAAACTCTACAGCAAAATGCATAATTTTTTTCTACTTTCCATAGCTCGTGTTTATTTTTGTATAGATTTTTTCATTGGAAACACCGAATTTTAGCAGGCTTGTCTCAGATACAAATGCATCAAACACCAATAATTCTTCGGATTATGAAACTTGCAGAAGTGGATTATGGTTTGACATAATTTTACAATGCAAATGAGCATTTACCGCTTCACACTAGCAACTTTCGAGAATTCCGGGTACAGCGTGGAGCGAATCGGAAAACCTGAATTATGATGATTTTATCTCGGAAAACTACATGGATCAAAAACAAAAAGCAATAAATAATAAGAGGAGAAAAAGCTGCGTCAAATGACACCCGAGTTTCCTGCCGGTTGTGGTTCTGTGAGATTTGAGTTTACCAAAGAATTTGATAGCAATAAATTGATTCTAGAAATTCTAAGAAGCAAGCTAAGGAGAAGAAAAAATTGTTTTGTGTTCTACAGGGTTTGCCCTATCTAGCCGTTACTTACTTCGGGAGATTAGTATAAAACTTAAAATAGCCGAACTTAACTATGGCAGATCCAGGTGAAATTTGGATCCAAGAATCAAAATTTTTTAAATAATTTAGAAACGGATCTCCTACCACAAAATGCCTACGGACTTCCTACTTGGTTATTGTACAGTAGACACATAGTAGTACCCGAACATGGTAGACGTTTGGTAGATTCTTTCTGGGGCACAAAATTGGGGAATAAAAATGGCCTGAAAATGCAAAAAAAAGTCACTTTTTTCGGGTTTTTTCTGTTAAATTTGGTATTTCTCGATTACCAAAGCACAAACAAAGGAAAAATTTCAAGGTTATACTTATTAAGACTAGTAGTATACAATGACGTATATGGGAGGGGCTGGGGGGGGGGGGGGGAATATGCCATTTTTGGACTATTTTTTTCTCGCTTTCTAAGCGCGGAAAAAACCACCAAACGCAAATTTGAGTGGCATATGTACTTGTTGTATAATGAACAAGTTTGAGATTCGTAGGAGTTTCCTTCGCAAAAATCCAATTTTCCGGTAAAAAAAACTCATTCGATACTTGCTCTAAACTTTACCTGGATTACGACTTGAAGGCAGTGTGCGGCAAGAAGTCGATCTTGCGACTTTGTGCTTACCTGCAGGTCCCCATGGGCCTACTCGCTATGCTAAATTCGAAAATTCACACTGGAAAGCGCGAAAACGGCTAGAAAGGTCTCTAACGCAGGAGGGAAACAGCAGGTAGTGGGGTCTTCCTCACTGTAAATTCACGCTCCCAGCTTCCGGAGCGATCTTCTCGATTCCGCTAGCCGCCCTGACATCGCAATCTGCATGTGCGACCGCGTGGCTCAAAATCACAACCGAAAAGATCGCTCCAAAAGCTGGGAGCGTGAACTCACAGTGGAGAAGGCCCCGCCCACCCGCTGATTTCTCTCCTGCGTTAAAGTCCTTTTTCGCCTTTCGCGCTTTTCACTGTGGATTTTCGAATCAAACATAGTGAATAGACCTAGCTAACGAGGGAATGGTTAGAAGTTGAAGTGGCCAATCTAAACAAGCTGCATACCATTCGATGCGGCATGAAATGCTGAAATGCTGGTTTCATATCTGTCTTCCATATCTGCAGAGCGCCTTTGTAGGCGAAGTTATGAGCACTCAGACAGTCGGTGCCGTAGCTCCGGACAGTCGAAATCTGGCAGAGCCGCGGAGGACCCAACTGACCATTGAGAGCGCGGCGAGGGGACGGTCCCTTCTTGTAGGTCACGGTGACGTCACAAGCAAGCGAGTGGGACCCCTTCTCCGGGACGCGCAAATCTCTGCTCCGGAGGTACGCCAGATTTGGGAGAGCCCCGGAGCAGAGATTTGCGCTCCGGAGGTACGCCAGATTTGGGACACCTCCGGAGCAGAAAATAGCAGGGCTCCGGAGCACAAATCGGAGGGCTCCGGAGCACGAGTGGCAATCCCCCGCTGGGGAAACCCCGCGGCTCGGCCATTTCTGCTCCGGAGGTACGTCGTCGACTGTCTGAGCAGCTTTACCACAAAAAAATTGTGCACAAAAAATGCGAAATTAGGCACATTATTGCTTTTTTAGCTCACCTCTAGGTACGGGCCATATGAATTGGCCTATGTTTTGGTTCAACCCCGAGCCGAGAATGGCGTTGTGCGGCCAAGTTTGCCCTTTACACGCACGATTGTCTGGCAAAATAATGGCCTTCAACGGCTCATAATTTCACCCACAAAAGTGTTCTCAGATAAGGAAAACAGATGTAGAGAGTCACCGTTTTTTGCTGCATCTAATTGTATACGGTTAGCTTAAATTGGCCATTTCGATTCCTGACCATTTCCTTGTAAGGACAAATACTCAGAATCGACTTCTTGCCCGGACACTGCCTTTGATGTGTTCATCTGTGTACAGCATGCATATAACTCGAATAGATCTATACAAATTACAGTAACATAGCGAAGGGCCTCAGAGAACGGTCGCAAGATTTTTGTAAGTAGTGCATGGGTAATAAAATTTGTGCAACTGATGCGTTGTCATTTTTGAGCGACTAATTTTTTCCTAGACAAAGTACTTCAAATTGAGTTTGCAAAGTTTTTTGTTGGAATTTGGCTCCAGCCAAAAACTTTTTTTTTTTTGAAATTTGAGGTATAATCCCGCTAATTTTCGACAAGCATCCTAAAAACTTCGAAGGCACGGCTAACGCCATACCCTTTCATTTAAATAAGGGAGCATGGTGAAATTTGAATGCTATTTTATAATAAAGGGAGACAAATTCAAAAATGTTGCAAATCTGTCTAGGGTTTGAAGCGACTCAGCGATTGTATTAGGCTGCTGCATAAGTTGGTTCTGTCCGATTTTTTTGCCTTATGTTTGAAGCAGCTTTTCTAAGAGAGTTTCTTTCTAATGCGATATTGTTAGTATCATTAGAAAGTGCTTTTCTTGCTCTTTCTAACGCATATCGAACTTGAGCAAAATTCTTAGTGTAAGGAGGTTTCAGACTTAAAACCTCCAAGTAGCCGAGGTACACTACACCACACCGCACCACATTCGAAATGATCATTTGCACTATCACTTACCACATCATGATTGTCTAGCGTTTTGTTCGCTTTGTCTTTCTTGGTTTTCCGTCAATCGTTTGAGTTGTTCTAGATTACTTTATTTCGTAGCTGCGCGAGAACTGCGTCATAACGTCATTGTTTTTTTAGTCGGTATTTGCAGTCACTGCTGTGGAAACGATGTTTAACACCTTGACGAACAAGGCCTTTCTCGGACCACCCAACATTTTTCAGATAAGATCACGCACAATTCCACCTACAGTAGCGTTGGAATGCTGGCAAAAACAGTAGAGGTTGTAAAAGAAAACTCCCAGAGTTGGTTTGGCACAAATTAGTAGCCATTCCAATGAGAGTCATGGTGTGTCAAGCCTTGACAATATGTGTGTCAAGCCGTCAATGTGTTGAAAGGCACCAAATAAGTTACCGCCTACAACCCTCAACAATAACAACTTTGCAATTCGTAGCCTCTTAGTTTCTTGTGCCGTATGCATGAGTACAACTTGTTTGATTGATGTGGTGGGCTAATTTCGTTATTAAGCAAACACAAATCAAAAATTATAATCTCATTTAAAGAAATCTCACTGGCATTCAAATCCTGAACTTTATGAATCCATAGCGATGCATATACCGTTTTCACAATAGCTCTCTCGGACTTGTATAAAATCAAGTAGCCTTCTTAACCCGATTCGGATGTCAAATTGATCGTATGTCATTTTTGCAGACAGTCATGTACAAAACAAGAAGTGTTAGAAACCTTGAGCTTCAACGTAAAATGGAATGCCGAACAACAAAAAGGAATTTAGCGATAGTGTAAAGACATGCTCAGCTTTACATTAGAGAATGAACTGGTTAAAATTGGGTTAACGTTAAATGTTCAGGCAGGTAGTAGATGACATCAAATAAAATGACACATATCAGGAAGGACTTACGTGAAGATAAATCTAGGTTGCATAGGAAACGGAGTAAATAATACACATACCCTCTATATCATCCCATATGTCTTCCCTCAACATGACGTGGATTACGTGGCTTGATGAGGCGCCGCCTCGCCTCGGGCTTGCACCACGTTGTGAGCGCATCATTTGGCGCGACGTGGCGCTCAGCACAACGTGGCGCAGGCGTCTCCACGTTCTTCTTGTTGCCACATCACGCCGAAGATGCGCACGCAAACGTGGCGCAAGCCCGAGGCGAGGCGGCGCCTCATCATGTCACGTAATCCACGTCATGTTGAGGGAAGACATATGGGATGATATCGAGGGTACAAGCACAGAAAGCAAAACACAACCCACATACTGGTGAAGTTGTTTGAAGGTGAGTGAACTTTGGACAGGATCGGAATCGGCAAGTATATGGGAGATTCGAAGGCCTAGTAATAATATGACACGGAATTACACACAGTATTCAGCATCAATACATTCATAATGATTTGAGAAACCTACAAAAACTGCACTGCTCAAAATAAATCAGTAGTATCGCCTTCCACTGGTAATTTTGGCGAAGATTAATGATTTATAGGCGATTTACGCAGAGACAAAGTGTCACTACGGACGCTGTCGGCGTGTTGCTGTTCGAGCGCTCTTTCACCTTTCTTGCCGTCTGCTATCTCTTCCATGCACCTATTGGTCGGACACAGCAGGGTCCAGTCTGTGCGCGATGAATCGCCTACACCTTGAAGGCAGTGTCCGGGCAAGATGGGGGTTTTGGGATTTCAGTGCCATGCGAGAGTGCCCTCAGACACAAGACGGGCAAGTGCGAGGTCATAACCGACCTAAAGTAAGAAAAAGGATCGGAAGGTGGGGAAACTTACGCCTCGGGGCGGGGTCCTCCGACCTGTTTGAATTCTCGCTATGCGGCAGAGTGCGCATGCCGCCACAGCTAAACTTGTGGGGTCCCGCTGCGACTCTGCGTCCCTGCCTTGGCGGGAACTGTCACATTTCGAATTGTCAGGCTTTGGAAAACGCATGTTCTCGCCATTTTCGCGCCTTCGAATGTGGATTTTTTTAGCGTTGCGGATAACCCCCGGTAAATGGATTTTCTAGAAATCGAGTTTTTGCCAGGAGACTGCCTTCGACTCAACGCTAGCGGATTTCCGAAACAGCACTTCCGGCCTCTAAAAGTGAGTTACATATTTGCAAACGAGAAATACGCACTGGACCAGGCAACTGCAATCGGCAAATTCACCCCACTCAGATTCACTTGTAGAAGGTATGGCGCCTGATTGCGCATCGATGTATGTCTGTTGTGGGTATTATTTTCGTGAGCGTAAATTACGGACGATGGAAACAAAAGTCATTGGTTGTAGCCGTGATAATTCTGAAAGGCGCATTGTGGACTTGTTAATTGAATTGGAGACTCATAACATCAGCTTTCACTTACATCTGGAGGACTCGGTGACGGAACGTCGTAGCGATATTCTCTAGTCGTACAAAAATCATGTCGGTCAGACCATATAGGAGAAACTACTGAGGAAGATTCGTATGATGGAGACACAAGATCTGTAAAAGAATACGTAGCATTTGGAGGGTAACCTGTAAATAGCATTATTGTCGTGCGTGTTCAGCTGCTACACTCCTCGAGAAGTTAGCACTTTCGTCGTTAACTATTACCAATCGTCAATATTTTGCACTTTCGGCCTTGGACATACCTCGCGCATTTCGTCGTAACGCTATTTCTAATGTAAAGTAATTGTTTTACGTACCCGGCGTGTCGGTCGCTACTGTGTTAGTTTGCCTGTGCGTAAAGAAATGTATTAATCTTTGAATGTGCATGTCTCTTGAACTGTTGTAATTTTGTGAAATCCGAGATAGCCGTCCATGTGACATCTTCGTTTGGGAGTTTGGCTGCTTGTGGTACTGAATTATAGAGTGCACAAGGCACTTCCTACCTACCGTAATCAAAATTAGCCGTGGACGATAATGTCGACTGCAGAAACATGCGAAATTACGTCCAATCATTGCATTTGACGTGGGAAAATGTATTGCTTCATGGTTTTGTGGTTTCTCTCTACTTTTTTTGATTTGTGCGCATCATTGCGTTTGTGGAAGTGTCGCAAAGCACGATTCTTTGGGATGTGACCGTATTCTACGTCTTCTCCGATGCGGATCTCGCGAATGCCACAATGAAGATCGCGCTGTCGGGGACAGGGCATCAAATTTTGAGAAAGTTCTCAGACACTCGCACCGGCCGGCGGCCGTTCCACGACCGACCGGTCCGTCACCGACATTTCGGCCGGGACGGTCGCGAGCCGGCCGCCAGCCGGTATCGAACGGCCGCCAGCCGGTACTCGAACGGCCGCCAGCCGGTACCCGTACGGCCGCCGGCCGGCATGCGTCAATGGCGCAACAAAATAGCACTGGGCCACAGTATTTTTTTCTCTATATACCTTTCATTCAGCTCTGTAACCTTAATATGGGGTGGTACAAATCTATAACAACATACATATTTATTAAAGCCAGAAGGTACTGCAAAGAGACATTGAACAAACAACAAACATTGTCACATTGTACATATATGTATGAAAAATACATTCAAAACTAAAAAGCTAGATTTGATACAACTGGTTCACATATCGTTAAACAACTTTTCCGGATTGGCTAGGCTAAAAGGTTGCATATGTGCTTTGTACTTCTGAATGCCACATTCAACCGTTGATAAGCCGCATCCAATAACCTGTAAATGAAATAATTTACTGACAATTTTTAACTTATACCAGACTTACATCTATGTATAGAGTAGCGATAACGTCTGTTAGCAGAGCAATATCAAAACATATGCGTTCACAGGAGATGGTTAAAACAATGATCGTATCGGTCCCTAGAAAACACTGGGTAGTTTCAATCAAATCTTAGTCAGAGAAAACTTACATCTTTTGGAGTGCTTCGAGCAGCCGTAAGCATCAGATTAGCAGAAATGCGGTAATATGTCACACAGTGACTTAGCAGAAACCAACAGATCAACGATCTTCAGATGAATTAGAATTAAAACTCAGCATAGTAGGAATAGTCCACAATTCGCAGCATTGAGGATTATATAAAGGAGCATTCATTGGCCATATTCGTATTCACGATTAACAGTGTTTCGTAATCACGAATAACAGTGTTAAACTGACAGCGGTCAACCATTCATTGTATCCATCATAAAAGCAAGAGCCCAAATACAATGTATTGCAGCCGTCTCCTAAAAAAACTTGTGGACGTCTAGTTTGTACTTCCTTAGTTCGCACCCAAAAGGTGTTGCGACACTTACCTAGAATTCAAGTCACAGCAAATAGGCATGAACTCACTGACGTTCGGGTTTTTCGCCATTCAAGTCAAAATGAGCAATAATATAGAAAGAAGTGACAACGAACACCATGGAGTTTGATCAAATCTGGAAAGAAATGAATGAAATGAACGGAATCATAATAATGGGCTACATCAAGTATCATCGGACAAGAAAGTGACGCAACCGAAGTAGAAAACCCCAACAATAACAAAGGAAAATTAATAGAGAGAAGTTTTCTGCTTAGCAGACACAACGCGCCCAATGTTTGAAATTATTTTCCTACTGTACGCGCAATCTTGTGCGCTTTCCGAGCTTTTGCACAGCGGAACGGCCGCCGGCCGGCATTATTTACCAGTCCGGTGGCCGGCCGGCGTTTGGCTCCGCCCAAAAGGATGGAACGGCCGCCGGCCGGAAGGCCGTCGTCGAACGGTCGCCGGCCGGTGCGAGTGTCTGAGTTGTCGTAAACGCGATCTTGTCACATTGTTCTTTATTGAGAAAGTTGTTCTAAACGCGATCTTGTCACATTGTTCTTTATTGAATCTTGCACGTGTATCGCATACTTAGCATTCTTTCGACCGGATACCTAACTGACTTCGACCAAAATGACAAATGACGACCAATCTTGACGAAACGTATCAGTACGATGATGTGATGATGCGATATGGATACATAAAGGCAGCGTTTGAGGTTTGAAGGCAACTTTCGATTCAAGGAAGTAACACAGTCCCGTCTCCAGAGCATTTTAAGTGATACGACAAAGACGCTGTAGACCTAGCCTATTCTGTTATTACTGGTAACTTCAGAGAACGCCGATACACTCAAACATTTCTCGATGACACGTATTACGGCGTATTAGAGCGCTTAGGATGCTAACAGTACCGATAATGATTTCCCTATGTGGTATGACAGATGCCACTGCGGAAACATCAAAACGCAGATTTCGTAAGACTCGATTCTATCTTTTTACAATGCTCAGACTATTTCATCTTCTTATAATATCAAGGAGATGCAGAATGAAAAGTGGGAAGGATTACCAGAACAATAGTCTGCGCAGCTGCGCCTACACAAAGCAGAAGTATAGAATCAAATTTGATAGAGGATTATCTGCAAACTGCATCGAATATCGTTAAAGCTTTAATCTAGGATCCAAGAAATTGTTGGCAGAGACATCTGACGTATCTCCATTGAAGTTCTATAGCTGAGATCAAATAGGTGACTTCTTAGGGTCATTCGTTCATACTTATCATACATTGATGCAAAATGCTCTGTTGTCTTCCACGCTCTTTCATTTCCACAGTTTTCCATATACATCCGCTTGGTGAAGGAAAGCAGAGAGTATTTCGTTGTAGATATCGGAGACTTATAACTGTTTTTTTCTTGTTATACGACTCACATAAAATTAGACCATAGCTGATAACCTCAAATTGTTCATCTACTCAACAAGAAAGCATCTGTCGGACTTTGTTCCTGGCTGATTTATATACTACCATTCCCGAGTATAACACACTGTTTCTTTCTCTGAGCTCGATAGCCTAAAAATGTCGCGACCAATGGACTACTTGCTACCCTGATGATCCTCATTCGCGAGCATAGGTGCGATAGGGGGAGCCGGGCTCTCCCCAGGTGAAGGGGGTCTCGGCTGTTCCCGACCTTCCAGGGTGAAGGGGTATGTGAGTCTAGAGGGGGGGGAGGAAGAGAGAAAAGGTAAAAAAAGCGTGGTATGAAGAGCTCCAATTTGTACCTTATTTAGGCACAAATTGAAAAAAATTTAAAAATTTTCAAAAGAAATTAAAAAATTTAAAAAAATTGATTATGAAGATCTGTGCTCCTGTTTCAGCATCAACAAAAAACGAAAGCAATAAGGTTTATCCCAAAAGATGTACAAGTTAGGAACAACTTCAATTTCTGCACATCATCATCAACAATATCACTATCGCTAATGTCAGAGACAACAAGTTCGCTGCCTGAAAAATTTTCTTCTTCCTCCAAAAGGTCATCGGAGTAGAAGTAGAATTGCGTGCAAAAGCGTTCTAAGTCAAAAATGGATTTGAAACTTTCTTCTTCTTCTAAGCGCTTTTGTGATTTTTTTCCTGGCCCTGGTAGCACCAGGAAAGTCAGCAGGTAGGTGAAAAGTTTCTTCATAGCATCTTTTAGGATATTTCAAAAAGTCATACGATAACAGCTTGTCTGGACCACTCATACCAATCCTTTAAATGAAGTTTTTAGATAATAATATGTTTAGTAGAAGTTGACAAACCTTTAATAATTGCTTAGATGCTCCATCGTTGTACGACTTTTGCGTTGTGTTCTGATAGGAGTAGATAGAAAATTTCTTTCTCCACCTCTGCCGTGCTAGTCGGAATGGAAACTAGCTTTGCCAGTAAGTCCATAAGGTTTTTGCGGTAAGTAATGGGAAAAAAGCCAATCGCATATGCTTTCGCAACACGGGAAGGAAATACTGCACACTTTTTTGGGCCTTGTTGAACTCTGGCTTCACCTCCTGTGGCATACGTCCTGTTAGCTGATGAGAAAGCTGCTCAACTTCTTCTTTAACAGCATCTGCGGAATAGCCGAAAAAAGTAGATACTATGCTGCGCGTTGTTTTTTTTTCAATATCATAGGTCATAATGTCACAAGGCGAATTTCCAAAAGCATAAAGCACAGAGTTAGATTCGCACTCCAGTCGGGATCTAAGAGCAGCAGCTATGCTTTGTACTAACACCTTCCTTTTGTTCATATCTATGTTTGTGAATTAAGCAGCCTTGAAATCTTCAGCAACCTGAAGATCAGCATTGGACTTCCTGGGCATTTCCTCATTGAAACTAGGCAATCAGCTTGGATTCCTTATGTAGGAAGTCAGAGAGTTTTGCTCAATTGTCAACTCTGTATCAATGTCGACAACATTTTCGTCGGCGTAAAATTCTCCTTCTGCCTCGCTGTGGAACTGGAACACATGCGAGTCATCTGCGATTTTGTAAAGTATTCTGCCTGCCGTTTCCTCTTCAAACTGCCAACCTTTCCAAAACATTGAGAGAGATTTAATAACATGTTATTCTTCTGAATTTTTTGATTCATTGAAACAACCATTCTCTACAAATTAGGTAAGGTGAGTCTAGAGCGTTTTCACGAAAGTGGCCTTCTTCAGCAGTAGGTTTACAGAGTATAGATTCCAGAAATGGGCGGGTTTTTGTGTGAAGGTGTGGAAATTCACCAATCTCCCATAGTTTTTTGAGTGTGTGCTAATAATGATGGCATATCAATCAAAAGCGCATTTTTTACCAAAAAAAAACATGAACATATAACAACGATAATCACGCTTAAATAGACGCGTTCGCTCACGTTCCCGTTAGTGCTGATAACGATGTCAATCCACAGCACATTTTTTACTATTAACTTGCTCCACCTCGCTCTTATTAGGTCATCCCAAAAGTTTTTGCGCACAATTCTCAAAAATTCATAATTTCTGATTCTTCCAACCGATTTGACTGATTTCACTTTTATGTGAAAGGGTAAGTCATGCTTTTTATAATGACATTCCAGCTGCTTAGTAACGGTCATCTGTTGCATAGATAGGAGCGATAGAAGAAAATCGGTCAAAATTAGAATTTTCTGTGTAGGATCATAAAAAATGGGAGACTTGCAAAAAAAATCGGAGCAGTCAATATTGTAGGTTCTTTCACCAGCTCTTTCTAAATGTGCAAAATTTGCGCCGATTGAGCGTCTCTATGAAAAGTTATGATTACCCTGAAATTGCCAAAATAAACCAAGTTCGCCCTTTCGTATTGCTTGCTCGAAAATCATAATTTTCATAGAGACCCTCAATCAGCGCAAACTTTGCACTGTCAGAAAGAGCTGGTGGAGGAACCTACAATACTGACTGCTTCGATTTTTGTCGCAAGTCTCCGATTTTTCATGGCCCTACACAGAAAATTCAAATTTTGACCAATTTTCTTCTATCGCTTCTATCTATGCAACAGATGATCATTACTAAGCAGCTGAGATGTCTTTGTAAAGAGCATGACTTACCCTTTCACATAAAAGTGGAAGCAGTCAAATCGGTCGGAAAACTCAGAAGCTATTAATTTTTGAAAATCTTTCGGGACGACCTATACAATGTGTTGCCTTTCATGGGTCATCGAAGCAAATGATTTTTAGAGCCGGGAAGCAAAGAAGCCCTAACAAGCTGTATACCATGCGAAAGCTGAGATCATGGAGAATCGTCGTAGACCGTCGACTTTTTTCTAGGTCTTCTGTGCCGCGAGATATGAGGGATTTTATGTGCTTCAAAAATTAACTGATTTTGTGTCCTCACTTTCTGCTCTCCAAATGAATGCTACGAAAAGGTCGACGGTCTACGTTTGTTAATGAAGACTTGCTCTTTAATACAGATAGATAAACAGCAGTGATTAGGTCTTCATTTGGCAGAAATCTGCTGTTGAAAATGACCATGTTTTCAGATAAAATGCGGTGTATCTCTCGGTAGAGGGGGGCTAGAAAGAAGTCGACGGTCTAGGTCGAATCCCCTTTTCCTGAGCTTTCGAATGGTATATAGGTTGCTGGGCGAAAAAACTAACCAGTTTTCAAAAATGGGGTGGAGATATTTACTATTAGCTTGCTCCACCCAGCTCCACTAATGTATTGGCTTTTATCGGTTATCGGAGCAAATGATTTTTAGAGCCGGGAAGCAAAACAGCCCTAACATGCTTTATACCATTCGAAAGCTGAGATCATGGAGAATCGACATAGACCGTCGACTTTTTTCTAGGTCTTCTGTGCCGCGAGATATGAGGGATTTTATGTGCTTCAAAAACAACTGCTTTTTGTCCTCACTTTCTGCTCTCCAAATGAATGTTACGAGGATAAATGAATAATATAAATAAACATAGATAGCGTTCCTTTTGTAAATTTGTGAGTGTACTTGTTGTTTGAGATACTTAGCCTGCAAAACCTTTTAATAACAATCATATTCTCAGAGTACAATACCAATCTCAGTCCAGGTGAAGGGGGTCATCGGGAGTTTGGCCTCAAAGTGAAGGGGGTAAGATCCATCACTCCCCCTAACGCAACTATGTTCGCGACACTCGCGTCGGGGAAGACGTAGAATACGGTCACATCTCGTGCAATGCGACACTTCCACTCTAATCAGAATAAACAGCAACTGAACGCAATGATGCGCACGAATCAAAAAAATAGAGAGAAACCACAAAATCATGAAGCAATACATTTCCCCACGTCAAATGCAATGGTTGGACGTAATTTCGCATGTTTCTGCAGTCAACATTATCGTCCACGGCTAATTTTGATTACGGTAGGTAGGAAGTGCCTTGTGCACTCTATAATTCAGTGCTTGTGGTAACTAACATTTTTGTTTCTTTTCCAATCACAATCTTTTTGAAGGTACTAGCAGGCTAGTTGCGACAGGGCCACCCTCAAATAAGCTACAAGCATGTGCCAATTTTAACTTGGTGAAAGCTTCGCAACCAGCCTGTTGTGCAAATTTGTACCGTCCAATGTGTGTTTTCTGAAAAGAGGAAATTACATTTGTTCTAGCTTCGTACGTCCTTTCAGAAGGATGTCTTCGGACGATTTTTTAACATATTGACGACAACGCAGATTTTTGATTGTCTGCCTTGAGAGCAGACCTCTTACGGACCAGTCAGCATTTTTTTTTGGATGAAACCGCGCATACCGCCGTTTACAGTACACCCACAGTAGGTACTCAGGGCTGATAAAGAAGATAGAGGCCATTTCTAGATTCACAGCAAAAAGAATACTTCTGGAATAAGTTTGTACCAAGATAGTCGTCGTCGTTGACGACTACATGTCACATGCATCGAATAAATACCATATGTCATTGACTTGACAGCGTCAATAGTCAATCGTCAGTTACAGCTACCGAAAGACCGCCACATGCAGACAAAAAAAGACCTCTCTGCCTTTGATGCATACAGAGTGGCCAATTATTCGGAACTGATATAATCTTACCTTGTTGTGTGGAGCCGATTAGAGGCAAATAACGTCTTTGCACAAAACCAGTCTCTCTTCGGCTATTTTCCGAAGGTGTGTCTGTAATGCAAGCTAACTTAAAAAAATCGTATTCACACACCGTCATCTCTGTATCTACTAGCTGTAGTGACCATCCAATTATACCCACCTGGGCTTCTGTTGCAGTAAAGGTTTTGCGCATACTGAAAAGGATGCGAAGTGTAAGTACTTGGACCTGGAGAGTGATGAAGCTGTGCATGGAAAGGCATGCGATGCGGTAAATCTCGTAACGACATCTCGTAGTCAAAACAAGGAACCGTATCTAAACGCAGAGTATTTTCAATACAACAAGAAATTAGAGGAGTTTGGTACAATCCTTTCAAGTAGCAAGCAGAATGGTTTTACATAGTGCTGGCACTAGCTATAAAGCTATCCTACGAAACACGGCAATTTGCTCTGTAGTGATTGTAATTGTCGAAACACTACTATTCTGTGTGTGGACCAAGATCATATCACAAACCAAATGGCTCTAAATTTCACTAATTGGCTGGAAAAAAACCGAAACTCTTTCATTAGATTATTCTGCGCTAAACAGCAGCCGAAGACTCTCTTTTAAAAGAGATAGAAGAGCTGATAAACTCTGGAAAAATCAAGCTGTTCCAAGTTCTATTAGCCGTAACTTCCTTCAGGATGAACATCCTCGAAATCCGAAAACAGCTTTGTGTTCAGCTCGTCAAGGCGAATCTTCCGGTATACAGCATGTTCTTGAAATTCCCAATTTTTTCAAAATTTTCTGCGCGCGTATATTCGTAAGGTCGCAACGCAGCGCACATCAAACTTAAAAGACTCCAATAAGCACTATTGAATTGTGCTGCTTCCGCAGATTACCGAGCGTTAAAGATGAACTGGAGAATCTTCTTCAAAAAAGATAGAAGAGTTGGTGAATTCTGGAAACATCGTGTTGTCTCAAATTTTGCCCACTGTAATCCTAAAATGGGAAGCTCTCCTGCTAAGCAGATGTGATTTTCGTAATCAGCAGGTCAGATAACCTCCATGAGCAAGTTTTCAAAGAAATTCGGGTGATTTGATTTTTTCTTGTTCTACGCCCTGAAGCTCGGCGATGGGTTTTGGTCAAAATGTCGATGATCTTGGATTATAAGGAAACCTCGCTCAAAGAGGTTATCTGACCTGCTGATTACGAAATTCATATCTGCTTAGCAGGAGAGCTTACCATTTTAGGGGTACAGTGGGCAAAATTTGAGACAACACGAATTTTCAGAATTCACCAGCCCTTCTATCTTTTTTGAAGAAGATTCTCCAGTTCATTTTTAACGCTCGGTAATCTGCGGAAGCAGCACAATCCAATAGTGCTCATTGGAGTCTTTTATGTTTGATGTGCGCTGCGTTGCGACCTTACGAATATACGCGCGCAGAAAATTTTGAAAAAATTGGGAATTTCAAGAACATGCTGTATACCGGAAGATTCGCCTTGACGAGCTGAACCAATGCTGTTTTCTGATTTTGAAGATGTTCATTCTGAAGGAAGTTACGGCTAGTAGAACTTGGAACAGCTTGATTTTTCCAGAGTTTATCAGCTCTTCTATCTTTTTTAAAAGAGAGTCTTCGGCTGCTGTTTAGCGCAGAATAATCTAATGAAAGAGTACTATCGAAGAGTGCCCGCCGCAGTCTCCTCTGTGTGATGCTCGTTGCGTTACACCCACGCGAAAAGGCGTCCGTATGCAAATTCAAGATTATTGAAAACAGGATATTGGAGACAACCTGTATAGCAAAAGATTCGCCTTGACGAGCTGAATACAATGCTTTATTCGGATTTTGAATATACTCATTCGGAAAGAAGTTATGGCCCTGCGTAATTTGCGTTATTTACGTGATTTTCGCGAAGTTCCGGGGATGTCGCGAAATTTCCAGAATTTCGCGAACCTTCGTGTGCGACGTTCACGGAAATTTTGCACATTCTGTGAGCGGTATTGTAGTACTTAAAAAAGGAATGACTCAAGCTGCGACCAGCCTCGGAACAGGCATATTTAATTTTCGTTTTTTCTGCGGCCGAAATCGATGAAGTTGGGAGACGTTTTCATCAATGTTGACCTACACACAAAACAGTGGTTTCAGGGAATTTCATCTACTGAAGATGATTGTGATTGCTAAGGTGACTTTATAGCCATAACCAGCACTGTATCGTTTTCTTTGAGACCAACTTGAAGAAGCTTGTCAACCATAAACTCCTTGTCATTTTATTCAGGCGTAGTATCTGAAGCTCATACTCCATTCTTACCTCTAATTCCATAACGGGGCGTATAGCTCTCGCCAAAAATTGGAGGACTCCTTTCTTTATACAGACACAGCTGAAAGGGAGACGAAGTCTTGGATTGTTGAGATGACAGTAACTGCTCCGCCTAAACGCAACCATATGCGATAATTTGGGCTCATGGCAAGTTTTTTAGAGAAGAAATTTTACTATTCCTCGACAAATGAGTTGTTATTATTGAAACAAACCCAAATTAGATGATTGTCATAGCTTTGGGATGTGTTCAATCTCAACAAAAAAAAAACAGTGGACTAATTCTAGGACAATTGGGAATCATACACGAAACTGTGAAATGCAGCCCATACGACAGTTCGCTTTTGATCAATATATCTACAGCAAAGAATAGTAAAAACACTTGAGGACGACTTGGGCTACGCCTCCCCCCAGATGTTCATTTAATTCATTTCAATTCAACAAACCTTTTAATTAACATATAGTTCTGAAAATTTCGTCATGCTGGTGGACCTCAACATAAAGGAAAAGGGAAAAGTTTAGATTATTTTAATTTTAGGGGCGGTTCTTGTAACGAATAAATATCAGCAAAACTTTTTTCGAAGTACAAAAAAAAAGAAGAAAGATTGCATAACAACTTCGGAAAAAGTCTGTGTAAAAGATAAAGAAAGAGTTAGAAGATATATTTTATAGAAAGTGGCTTCTTGATCAGGGCCCGGAGGTCGTCTGGAAGCAGGCTGGACTTCGTTTTTGGAGCAAAAAGCAAAAGGGATATCGTTTTTGCGAAGTCGGGGCCGAGAACCAGGAATAAGCGCCATTTAGTCGAACACAAGCTTTTCGGACAGGTTATCGCACGATTGACATGCTCTATCGTGTACGACGAAAAGTGCGCCTAATTCGAAAGCAAGTTTAAAATAAACAAATTGCTTGTTTACAGTGCATACAGAATCATATGACACCAGAATTGAATTGTATACTTAGAAAATTATTTGCGGAAGGATTATATAAAAAGATTTGAAACCTTATGTGAAGTAATACCTTTCAAAATTAGATCGTCTCCAGATGGCCACCAGACGATCTGAGATCGTCTGGAGCATATATTTTCATCACTTCACATAAGTTTCGAATCTTTTTAGCATGGACGGGTACCCCGGTCAAGAATCATACCACTCCCTGTCCGTCGTTTTTATCCTCTTTTTTTTCGAAAATCGCCTTATTAGATATTGCGCCCCAGCGTCAACTTTTCTGCATCCTCTCCTTTTGAATTTTCATTTTCAGTTTTAGCTTTTTTTGATATTTTGATAATTTCTTCCATTCTTCTTCTTTCTTCTTCTTCTTCTTCTTCTTTCTTCAGCTCGTGATCTATTTTGATCGTTCTATGACCGTGTAGGGCTTTATGAAGCAAAATTCTGTGGATTTTGTGGGGGGGGGGGGTTTGAGAGTTTGAGCTCGCGAGATTCTCAGCTCGCAGCAGGTAAATGGTTTTGTCAAGAACTAAGTGATTATGCAAGGATCCACCAACAATCGGAGGGGAGGAGTAGAGCAAGGGTCAAACGGGACTTCGTAAAATTTTCGAAAGTCAGGGGGTCGTTTTCAAAAAGCCTAGAAACGGACTCGTGGCGGGCCCTGTTCTTGGTGCATCTTAATTCCGACCTGTAGCGGGTCGTGGGCTCCTGCTCCGGCGCTACGACGAGTTCGAGAGAATATGTCGGAGATGCGATAACCACTTGTAACTGCTCTTGACCTAAATTAATATTATTCTTCAAAATGACTTGATAAAACCCTTTGATTCAACTGGCGACGGCTGGAAGGTGGGGCTTCGTGACGTAGTGAAGGCAGCTAGCGCTCGCGACGCAGTCTGCGTTTCTCTCGCGCATGCTTTCTGTTCATCATCTAGCCTTAACTAGGTGACGAAGCCTCGCCTTTCAGCCGCCAAGCCAGTTGAATAAGAGTTACCTGTTTTAAGCTTCCAATATCATTTGCGAAGCACTTTAGTGTTTCCCAAAGGAATGTGCTAACATTAACTAACAAGGGAAGGATACTCGGTCGAAGTGGCCATTTGGAATGAGCTGTATATTAGGAAACCGTCCTCCGTAAGGCAAACTCAAAACTACTTTCGCTAGGTGCCGAGCGGTTTTGTGGGGGGAGTTACAAGGCCATTTTCCTCCGGCGCAGCCAGCGCACCCAGTAATGAGGGAGGCGCTAGAATAACGCAGCAGTGTAGCAGTGGCGCAGTGGCAACGCAGCGGACTACGAAGCAGATGGTCGAGGGTTCGAGTCCTGTTGGTGCTATTTTATTTTGCAGCTCTGTAAAAAGTCTATTGGGTGACAGCAAACGAGAAATACTATTTCTAGGCAGTCGAAACAAGCTATTTACTGCAAAAAAGTCACTATTTTTACAATAAACTATAATCTTCTACAATATGTCAATCTGTGGAGGTTAAGATGTCACAACAATGGATTCAAATAATATACTAACATGTATGGAATACAACCACAAAATGCTCAAAGCGGAAGAGCTTCTCGCAGCGCGCACATCGGATAAAATATAAACGATGACAATCAGCAGCTTCACAATTGCCTATCAAATTCGGTGAAAAACAGTACTGAATAGGAGACTCGAATTCGCCGGGGTGGTTATCAATGTATCCGCTGCATGCCATGGGTATGAAAGGGAATTTTTGAATCGCGGCGAGCAAAACTGTGTGTAAATGAGCGATAGAATCTCAAGAATGGAATCCCTATGATGCAAGTGACAGACTGACATATTGTAAACAATTATAGCTTATTGTAGGAATAGTGACTTTTTTGCAGTAAATAGCTTGTTTCGACTGCCTAGAAATAGTATTTCTCGTTTGCTGTCACCCAATAGACTTTTTACAGAGCTGCAAAACAAAGTAGCACCAACAGGACTCGAACCCTCGACAATCTGCTTCGTAGTCCACTGCGTTCCCACTGCGCCACTGCTACACTGCTGCGTTATTCTAGCGCCTCCCTCATTACTGGGTGCGCTGGCTGCGCCGGAGGAAAATGGCCTTGTAACTCCCCCCACAAAACCGCTCGGCACCTAGCGAAAGTAGTTTTGAGTTTGCCTTACGGAGGACGGTTTCCTAATATACAGCTCATTCCAAATGGCCACTTCGACCGAGTATCCTTCCCTTGTAAGAAACTCTTACTCTCAAATATTAGTACTTCTTGATAATCTCAGGCAAAACTCAAAATTAAATTTATTACTTATTCCGTCAAAGATGATCATGAAAACATCACAAAGTCGGCAAACTCTCCAGGTGGTCGCCAACATTTTTGAAGGTACTTAAGCTTATGAAAAGTCGTAAAACAAAATAGGGTGGATTACGCAAACGTACTTTGGTTTGTCAAAGGAGCAAAGGTCTGTAGTCTACAAATATTATTGTGACTAGGAATAAGAAGCAGGACTCAGTGTAGGTGATGCTTTCTAGAGAGGGCTTATCAGTTGAGGTGTCGCCCCGCGCTGGACCCTGCGTCTCTTCCGCGGAACATGCTCTTCGAGAATTTCCCCAAGGCGAGCATGGGAAAGGCGGAGCCTCAATTGATTAGAAGTGATTAGAGAGCATGTCCAGCGGAAGACACGCAGACTGCAGCGCGGGGGTGGAGATGCTGGTGCACCCGACACCTCAACTGTTAAGCCCTGTATATGTCGTTTTCTGAAAGAAAGCAAAAGGGGACCCGTACAGTTGCGAGGGCTGATTCCCGAATATGTGACAAATTCAATAACAAACAGCTCTAGCTCCTATTGGCTTGAATTAAAGTTCTAACGCAATCTTCCAGCGCGCGGAAATTTAGCCCGTCATAAACACGATTTATGCGTACACCTTTACCCGTGTGCACGCGTCTTAACTTGTCGAAAGAAATCTCTGGGCACAAGATGATAAACGATCGGTTTGTTTCCAAAGCTTAAGCTATAAGGAAATCACCAAATCTGGAGTGTAGCTTCGCGACATGGATGTAAAAGATGAGAAATGATTATAAAAGCGTGATGGAGAAAAACTGTAAGTGTTTTTCCATCTAAGGTTGCTTCGCGCTATTTGGGAACACCCTGAGATTGCGCGTGAGCAAATAGAGTCATTATATTTCCTTTTCTCATATAATAGGTTGGCACATAAGTAATGCAACTTTTTGTATAACTTTTCTTTTTGTCTTGCTAAACTTAGCGCATTCATTTTCTGGCAAGATAAGTATTGTGATGTAAACTGCAAAGCAGACAATTTTCAAATTCTGCCATCTTATGTACCCTCGATATCATCCCATATGTCTTCCCTCAACATGACGTGGATTACGTGGCTTGATGAGGCGCCGCCTCGCCTCGGGCTCGCGCCACGTTGCGAGCGCATCATTTGGCGCGACGTGGCGCTCAACACAACGTGGCGCAGGCTTTTTCACGTTCTTCTTGTTGCCACAACACGCCGAAAATGCGCACGCAACGTGGCGCAAGCCCGAGGCGAGGCGGCGCCTCATCAAGCCACGTAATCCACGTCATGTTGAGGGAAGACATATGGGATGATATCGAGGGTATAATCTATTCTATGACCAGGAGACGCAAAACCGCATTGCGGACATTGTCTTAACAAGTTTGAGTTTGTTCTTCCCTGTTTCCAAATAGTGAATAAACCTGGACGAGATAAATAACAAGTATAAGCCTGCTAAGTACACGATTAGGCTTGTTTAGACATTGCGTGCAATGCGGTCTCGCGTCTCGTGGTCATAGAATAAATGATAAGAGTTAGGTAGGTTTACGGTATAATGGGAAAATTTTTTAGATTGCGTCAGATTTTGCTACCATGGCCTATGGGGGTTATCCAACATGCTGGTCACAAAAACGAAACCCGTTTTGCATTGAAAGGCCTCTTTCTTGAGGTCAAGGAATGAATTTCATCTTAGCGACAAGTGACACCGCACTGGATTACCCTATTGTGCAAAGTTTTAGCGAATTCTGAATTTTCGCGGCTTTACGATTGCCCTCAAAATTGAACGCATTTGACTTGTTCTACTTATCAAAGGCGTCTTCTCTCAATTTGTTTTCAAATTTCACTTCTTTTTTACTGAATCTAATGTGTCAACTTCTAGCTACATGCTGCCTATAATTTCTTATTGTTATGTTTAATTCAGGTTTTTTGCGGCTTCATGTTTGAAAAAAACCATGAAGTCTCGATTTTCAAGGTTTTTCGGGAAAAGTTCATACCATTTCTATTACGTTATCAAATCAAACGGTTTGCACAGAATTGCAGCTTACTTCACAGTCTACATGATGCCAAAGGAGAGAGTGCTATATCAAATAAGAAAAAGTATGGGAAAAGTTACAAAACTTATGTGCCAGCCCAATAATTACAATTCTTTGAATAGATTTTTTTCAGCTAAAGATCACATATGCTCCGTTCTGCTGCAGCCTTTAATGATTTAAAAATAGACTTTTGTCATCTGCTATTCTATCTTTGATTTTTCTTGTCTTCTTCACTTCTTCACGTAAAGCTCGCTGCAGATTACTCTTGAGCCGTACTTCCACAAATATCACAAAAGGTATGTCGTAATCTTTCGCAGTGTTAAAGGAGACCACGAATGCGACCTGGTGTTAAACCCTGATTGAGGGCGATGCTTTCCGTTTTCGGCGTTTCTTCTCAGATTTGAGAGAATTTATAGTAAGTGGCTGACAAGGAAAGGATACTTAGTCGAAAGCACCAATCCAAGGGAGACATATATCATCTGAAAGCGCTTGAAACGCTGATTCCAACTCTATAGTTTCTAGCTGCGGAACGGTTTTGTAGAAAGAGTTATGAGGGGTGTTTCCCTCTGGGGTTGAGGCGCCCTTCAGATGTCGGCTCTTGTCTATGAGCATTATAGAAACACAAAACGGTGTAATGGTAAGTAATCTGAATGAAGATTACAATAAGGATTATAATACTCATAATACTTTGGTTTGTTTAACACTTCTAACTTCGATTAGCATCAATATCATCAGAAATGTCAGGCTTTAGGGCTCCAAAGCCATTTGGAAGCTCAATTCTGCAAAAACTGCGATAAAGTTGTACGAGAAAGGATTGAGATCTTGACAATGTTCCTATAAAGCAAGTTACTTACCACTAGGCCAGTTGCCACCAGTTGGTGCTCTCTACAGTTCTAATAGATAAGGGAGACCCGCTGGGGGCGCCTTAACCTCAGAGGGGGACACCCCTCATACCTCCTTCTACAGAACCGTTCCGCAGCTAGAAACTATAGATTTGGAATCAGCGTTTCAAGCGCTTTAAGATGATATATGTTTCATTTGAATTGGTGCTTTCGACTAGGTATCCTCTCCTTGTGAGTTTCATCTATATCCATAAAAATGTTTATACGCTCTTTATAATGTGCGTACTACAATCCTTTGGATATGATTATACATTTCTGCTTTTCATAATACTTGATTCTCGACGGATATCAAATAGAGCTCAAAAAGAAAAAGCAACTTTTTCGCACTTTTAGCCAATTTCCATCTATCCCAAGCTTTAGGCATGGGAAAACAGCCACTGTATAGTTATACGAAATTCTGTTGCAGAGATTATTAGCGCAAGCACGAGCTTAGTAGGAGTTTTCGAAAAGAAAAGCCTTCCTGCCAAAAACTTCGCCATAAATTGGCTTCACAGTTCAAGTGGATCAAACTTGAGTATTTGAAAGCCGTCTTGCGGACTTGCTTTGTACTGCCGAGCAGTAATTTCTGGTTCGATTCTAAGGCATTTCAGCAACTATATAGCAGATGCAACTTCTCACTTTCAAGCAGCAACATTTCATGGCTGTATTTGTCGCGGATTCGCGACTTCCTTCAAAGGAGGCCGCCGCCGCGCTGCGAAGGGGTCCCGAAACGCTGTCCTCGCGCTGCTCCCGCCTTCCCACCGCTACTGCCGCAACTTTCAAATCAGTCGTCAATTTCGTTACCTTGTGAGCGGTTGGGTCCCAGTTTCTGTTTACACATGTCGATCGATGCAGCGCCGTCTCCAACTCACGCGTCATCTACATCCGACACGCCACGGAGGACAGGCAACCCCGCAGATGAGGTAACCCCCTGCGCGCTCGCGCCTGGCATACGCCGGCGACACCGCCACGGGAGGTTTCCGATGTTGTCGGCCCCTAGGTTAACATCGGGCTGGTTGTGCCCCACCCTTGTGTTTGAGTTTAGGGAATAGTTGTGGATAAATGGTGGGCATTTCACACGTGTGATTTGTTTTGATGCGGTGAGCCACAGCTCGGCTGTGGCTCCGGGGATACCTCATGTGTCATGTCATGTTCATGTGTATTTTATAATCACGCCTAGTGGGATAGATCGGTCAGAAGGCAGACACAATCCTTGGTAGTGGTGCCTTGGTTATAAGTATCGTGCCCCAACTGTCGATAGTTGGGAGTATGAGTCGAGTCGCAGGTTCGAGTAACTGCTAAGTAGGCTGGTGGCAAGGGCCTCTATGTGTGCATGGCATGTTGTGTGGCAGGCGGAATTCGCATTCTCACGGTAATGCCACCACAATCTACGCTATGTCCTATCCCGGATGGGACCCCTAACTTCTCTCGCCGATGCAGGAGAGCCATAGTACCACTGACGTTGGGAGCTGGGGGCCCCAATCCGCGACAGTGTTTTGGCGAAATTAAAATTATGCAACGTACATTTTCTGTGGCTCACAAAAACATGTCAATGATTCTTCGCCTTCCTCAGTGCTTGCCTCGTCAGCCCGTGGGCTCGACACTTGGTTAGCTTCCTCGGCTGCCCTTGCAGCGGCCACCAACTCGTGAAGGCCACCGTCAAATAGACTTCCAATAGTAACCTGAATTTTGCCTTTGACAGGGAAATTCTTGCTCACTTAATATTCTGGGTGAGAATAATTTTAGGTGAGTCGTTAACTGAGAGGCAATTATAAATGAAGGGATTCGGAGGATTTGGGACAATCTACACGCTTTCTACGATGAAGCAGGGGGCTGCAAAAAACAGCGTCCTCTTATTTTTCTGTCTCTTTAACTAGTTGATTTTATGCACATTGCCGATATGTCGTATCCTTAGCTAATTTTAGTTAACAAATTTGTTTGATAGATGCTGATGTGAAGGAGGGTCATGTAATTCGTTGAGGTTCAAAAAATCTCAAATCTACAAGAAAGAGCTCAGAGTACCTGAACCTTACAACGGTGCCTTAAGAATGAAAACGATGTTAGGAACAAACCTCTGCTCTATTCCTTTTCGCTCGGTAATTTTCAAGAATCAGCAGCCCAGCATAGACTTTCCCCACGGTTAGCCTTTGCAAGCAAAGTTCTGCAGAAAACTGGTTTTCTTTATGAGGTTGAAAGTCAGTAGAGCCTTTACGATGATCAGGTGGTATTAGTAGATCGATCATGTCTTTCGTCGCCTGCAAAGGCCACATCTTCTTGAGAGACTTTTTCAGTTCCCTGTCAGCTTCATCCATCTCCTCCACTGAAAAATGTTGGCACTTACTCCAACAAGAGCATGCATGAAGGGCAACAATACCGGGTCTCATTTTGATGTTTAGACTCTCTCGAATTAGAGCGAAAAGTGTTGTAGTGAAGTGAACTGTCCCATCTTCTGCTACTGGCATGTTCATGCGTATTAAATGTTTGTAAGCTAATCGGTAAGGGCAATTTCGACCGAATCCGACTGGTGGAGCAATATTCCGTAGCATGTCGTACATTTCCGTGTAATGAATTCTCCCGCTCAAACTCAGAAATAGCATTAAAATTTTTAAGTAACGGTGTGCTACTCACGTTGCTGCAGGATCGTAGTCTGCCCAAACTCGAATAAATTCATCCAGATGATGAGGACCAAGGATTGATGGATCTCTAGTAAGATAATCGAAATTATCCATAATAACAGCAACGAAAAGATTCAGCATTAGAAACGACGAAAGGAAGACAAAGGATGTGAAGTAAGCATAACTGATATTGCTACCACATGTCTGACCCTAAATGGGACTGAAAAGACAGAAAGAGAAAAACAGCAGACTTCGAGGAGCCCTAGCTACCTTGGCGTAGTTTATCTCAAGATGTCCCGCTCGAGCACACTCTTTTTGAGCAGTGCAAGCCATCATGATATCCTGCCAACCTTCGCCAGTTGCGCAACTGAAAAAATGTCGAGTTTAGACGTAAGTCCCTTTTTGTGAAGTTTCGACTTTACCAGTTTCCGGCTACATTTCTATTAAAAAAATTTACAGTTTTTCCCACAAATAATGGTCATGTCAACGGGGAGTACGAGGAAGAGAGAACAGGAAGGCAGTTTTGAGCTTGAAGCCATACAGCAGGGAAAGGGGAGCGTTTGGAAGAGAAATGCAGGCAATGAGTGAGTTGGCAAACACTCTCTACAAATTGGAGAGAAGTGTGTGTATGTGTATGTGTATGTGTATGTGTATGTGTATGTGTATGTGTATGTGTATGTGTACGTGTGTCTGTGTATGTGTACGTGTGTATGTGTATGTGTATGTGTGTATGTGTATGTGTATGTGTATGTGTATGTGTATGTGTGTGTGTGTATGTGTACTCGGAAAGATTCAATTGTAGTTGGTGGGGGGTGGCCCGAAAGTGAGCTAGGTTGGGCTCCATCGCACTCTAGCTTCAAACGAGTGGACGAAAAGCGAATGAAAAGACTACCGAAATAGTAGGATCAGTGAGTTGAAGAATGATTGGAAATTGTTGTGACGGTTGACTTCAAATGCTGCGTTCAACTTGATATTACCAAACACCTGAAATCAAAGTTTTACGAATCTTAAACTCAAAAAAGAATGAAAACCTGCATTCCTACGATTGCGTAAATGAAGAACATTATTCCGATTAACAAACAGACGTAAGGGAGAGCCTTAATGTGAGATGTAACATGAAGTACATACCATTTGATTAAATGGATTGTCGGCTGGAAGTCGACAGCTGGCATTGCTGCCTGCGTCTCTCGCGAGCGTGCTCTCTGACATTCCCTAGCCTTAATTAGGTCGCGAAGCCTCGCCTTCCAGCCACCAATTCCGTTGAATCAAAAGGTACGCTAAGTACTTTTGGGTTGAAAAAAAAACGCTTTTCATTTCCTAGTCATGGCATCGCGATTAGACAAAATTTAAAAACGTGGTGGACTACCCTTCGATAGAGCAAAGCTCAAAATGGCATTACTGCTTCTGCACCATGATTGTACCATGTGAAGTTCGAAAACGGAATCCAAAAAGTTCCAAATGGCCGAAAAATCAAAAAAAAATCGTATCTCCGTCCAAAAGAATTTCTGTGGATTTCCAACTTGCTCGGATATGCTCACCCAGGGCCCGGCACGAGGTCGGCAAATGACAAGCTGGAAATCGTTTTGGGGCCAAAAAGCAAAGGGGAAATCGTTTTTGCGGGGTCGGGGGCGGAGCCCCGGAAAAAAATTGGTAGTTCATGCTCGCTACTTATCTTGACATGTTATGTGCCTCAACAGGCGAACACTGGAGTTCGCGCGCGTCAAACCGCGCCGTCGCTAATTGCCGCACGCGCGACGTCGCCCAAGCGATGCTATTTGTAACAGCATGCATGACTAGTTCTCAATGTATGTGTAACGATATGGCACCAAATTTTGTATGCGAACGGAGAGAGGCTAGTGGAAACATAGTATGAAAATTTATGAAAAACTTATGTGAACGGAACGAGTAATTAGCATTTTTTCCGAGAATTTCGAAAAACTGGTAAATGAAGATGTGAATTCAAACGGCTCGTTTGGAACACGCAGATGAACGATATGGCATGGAACTTGGTAAGTATATGCACACGGACTTGCAGGGCTTAACTGAGGAGTTTCAATGAAAAATTATGTGACTGAAGGTTGTGGCAAACTTTTTTCTGAATATTTTGCGCTACCAAAGAAATGGAAAAATGACTCGTTTGCAACGCAGAGGTAACGAAATCGCGCGGGATTCGGTGTGTGTATGCGCAGTAGGACTAAGTAACTAAGTGTGAAATATTATGAAAAACTTATGTGAATGAAAAGTTTCCTTAACTAATTTCCAAATTAGGTCGGCATTTGCCGACCTAATTCCCACCTGAGGTCGGCAAAACTCTCAGTTCACATAAGTTTTTCAAAATTTTTACATAAATCTGTTGTACACATAAAGTTTACTACATGGTGAAATTTTGGTTCCGAAACTCCTCCTCTTGACCTTGTTAGAGCCCAAAATCGCATCAGCAGCCTAGCTTTTTAAGATGGAAAGCGCGCTCCAGTCAATCGATACGCGCGGGAGCGGCGTCTCTCATTCCTATGACTGCGTTTCTTTGATATTTTCTCATTCCTTAATCATTTTCTTGCTTATTTTTCTTCCTGTTTTCTATCTTGATCCAGCTGAGGAGTAATTTGAGGAATTTGAGCAATTTGGGCGCTTTTGAGCGCTTTTAGGCGAAGTGTGGCCGGTAATCTCGTCGCACAAGCAAACGTCATTTTTGGGCTCAAGGGGGTATTCGTACAATTTATTGGGATCAAAGGGGAATTCGTTTTGGAAAACCCCGTTTGCCCACCTCGTGCCGGGCCCTGTGCTCACCCCCTATCAACATTCATATGCGCAAGTGCTGTATTTTTTCCTTGACTAGATATCGAAAAATTGGAAATATTCAGGTTTCTGCCGAAGTGATGCTGGGCCGTTTCTGGTAAGTAATTCTATACTACTCAACTTGGGAAGTAAAAGCGGGAATTTTCAGCCTTTCAAAGTTAATTTTCGAGAAATGTAGAGTTCAATTTGAGGAATGGAAGAAAATAAGCTTAATGCGATATTTCTCGGGCAGTGACTCTTGTCAAAGGCTGAGAATCTATGTTTGTACTTCCTGTACTCAAAGCTAAAATGAGTAATGTAGATCTTACGCGGGAACCACAGCATCGCTTTGGCAGAAGCATGAAAACTTCTTTTCGATGTCTAGTCATAAAAAAATACAGCATGTAACCTTTGATTCAACTGGCTTGGCTTCGGGAAGGCGGGTCTTTGTGACTAATTAAGGCCGCTCGCGGACGCGACGCACCTGCGTCTCTTTCGTGCGGGTGCTCTCTGATCACCAACTAGCCTCAATTAAGTCTCGAAGCCCTGCCTTCCCGAAGCCAAGCCAGTTGAATCAAATGGCACATATGAACGTTTAATGAAGGGTGTATGCCCCTAGACGGAGATACAAACTTTTTGATTTTTCGGCCATTTGAAACTTTTTAGAATTCATCTTATTTCATGCGGATGCAAAAGATGCAAAAGCAGTAATGCCATTTTGTAGTGCTTGCTTTGCTCTATCGAATGCTATCTAACATATTTCTGGAATCTGCTTTATTGCAATGCCATGACAGGAAGATAAAAAGCGACACTATACTACCTTATCTTACCTTGATACTTTGTACGAATGTCCACAGAAGTATACGGATTGTGTAACCTTGCTGCAGAAGTCTAATGAGTCTGGCAGCGCGAAACAGACGAAGGAACCCTAGCGAAACGAAATGCCCTACAAAAACTGCGAATAGCTAAAATCAAACAAAATGGACACAGAAGAAAAAGAAAAAGCAGACTTTGAGAAGCATGAAAATGCTTGTACCTCCAAATTCTGTCACGAGAGCATCAGTGATAGAACCGACAACTGTAACGAAGTCAAATCTATTCCAACCATCTCGAAAATAATTCTAGAATGCACTACCCTGCGCTAGTATTCTGTATTATTCTTAAGTAAATTAGCTTACTCTAACACCGAATGCCAATATCTTCAGAACGGTTTCGACAGTGAAAACAGCTGTGAGGGCAGTGTTGAAGAGCCTGGATTGAAGACTAATAGTCTGTGTTATAGTTACATGCATATAATCTATACATATATAAAGCTGAGTGTTGGCAAATTGTTAGTCGGTGTGTTTGTTCTTTATAGAAACTTTTGTGTGTAGACCAATCAGCGCGAAACTTTGCACACATATATTTTCGAAGCGGCCCACCCCGTAGGCTATTTTGCGCTCCGAAATTCCCGCTTTTTATTAGGTTGTCAAGAAAATAATGTCGTTTTTTATTTGCTTGCTTCAACAAAGCAACCAGACTCAGCCCAACAAAGGGTAATGGGTATTGTTCGATAGAGCAAAGCTAGCTCTACAAGATGGCACTCATGATTTTGTGCCAAGCTCGATCCACGGAAAGTTCGAACTCAAAATCTGGAGATTTCCAAATGCGTAAAAAATTGAAAAAAATCAGATCTTCGTCCAAACAAATTCTACGGAACTCCCACTCGCACACCTCAATACTTCCGATATGCGATACCCATATGTGCTGTTGCTGCTATTTTTCGTTAACTAGAAACTGAGAAAACGAAAATTTTCGTGTTTTTCTAAAAGCAATGCTGAGCCGTTCTTGCATATGTGATTCCATACTACAAGCCTAGGTAAGTATAATTGTAGGTTTTCAGCCCATTCCGAGCAGTAGTTTTCGAGAAATGTCGCTTTTAGCACTGAAACTGAAAAGAGGATAGCTTATTTCGATATTTCTTGGAAACTAGTGCTCGAAATGGGCTATAAACCTACAATTATACTTACCTAGGCTTGTAGTATGGAATCACATATGCAAGAACGGCTCAGCATTGCTTTTAGAAAAACACGAAAATTTTCGTTCCCTCAGTTTCTAGTTAACGAAAAAGTGCAGCAACAGCACATATGGGTATCGCATATCGGAAGTATTGAGGTGTGCGAGTGGGAGTTCCGTAGAATTTGTTTGGACGAAGATCTGATTTTTTTCAATTTTTAGGCATTTGGAAATCTCCAGATTTTGAGTTCGAACTTTCCGTGGATCGAGCTTGGCACAAAATCATGAGTGCCATCTTGTAGAGCTAGCTTTGCTCTATCGAACAATACCCATTACCCTTTGTTGGGCTGAGTCTGGTTGCTTTGTTGAAGCAAGCAAATAAAAAACGACATTATTTTCTTGACAACCTAATATATTGATTTATCGACTTTGAAGAATATTGAACTCTTATCAATACTATCAACCACATACAACTTTCGTGTAAACAATAGCGGTAGAAGTCATTTCTACTCCGCGATGAGTGAGATGCAGTAATTCAAGGCGATGCGATTAGGAAGTTCACCATATGTTGCATGAGAAGAGAAAAAAAGCCAAAACGCAGTGTGTTGAGCTTCAAAGGTTGTGCGCAAATTGCGCTTTGTTGAGCCAGTTAAATCTATGCGGGAGACGCCGGGCATATCAGCTAGACGAAAATAAGTTGTGAAAAGTGAACTTTATGAAAACTATCATTTTTACGTACTCATATTTGCTCCCTGCCTCAACAACGTATAAGAATATATACTTCCACAACGTAGGATATATCTTATGTCAATGCTTATTGAGTTGCATTCTTAGGCCCGTATGCGTTAACATCCCCGCCGGGGAGTTTATCGCAGCTCAAAAAAAAAGCTTCGTATTCTGAAGTGTGAGATATCTGATAATAAGCTGTCTATTCATCCCAAATTATTCCTACTAACAACCAGGGCACGGCACAGGTGGCTTACCAAGCAGGCTGGATATCGTTTTTGGGGGAAAAAGCAAAGGGATATCGTTCTTGCTATGTTTCGATCTGCCGCCCCAAACAAGCAAAGGGCTTGTTTACAGCGAAGTGAAGATGAAATGATACCAAAATAGGGGTGTAGATGGGCAATGGTAAGTTAGGGCTAAGTATGGAAAGTTATGAAAAACTTATGTGAATGAAGGCGTGCTCTACTTTTTTGAGTTAGGTGGCTTTCAAGCCACCTGGAAGCCATCTGAGGTGGCTTGAGAAAGAAAAAGTTATAAACTCTCCCTCGCATAACTTTTTTACTTTTTCTTAAATAAATTTCATTCCTATCCCAAATCCTACAAATTGGCTCCCAAACCCCCTCAAACCCCCTCCTGCCGCTTAGTTACAGCCTCTTGGAATTTTTAAATGGCAGCGGCACCGCTACTCCAGCGCGTAGTGCTGCTCGCAGGATCATCCCGCCAATCCGGAATATACGAATATGGAAGAGTTGTTTGACGCTATTTTTGGCGTCTTTTTTTTGTTATGCTTTGTTCTTCCTTTCCATGTATTGGGTTGTTTCAAAAGTTCTACCCGTTTTCGAACTTTGACTTTGATCCATCATAACTCTTCTCAGAAATAACTATTAGGGTGATCACTAAAAAATGGGACACCTAGGGAATAAATGTAGATTTCTCAAAAAAGAAAAATGATTAAACTTCCCAATTTTGATAGATGTTAGAATAGATTATTCTCTTTCAGAAAATACCTATATAAGGTCAATTACATAACTAATAATTTTTATAGTGGCTGAAATGCAAAGTTAGTCACTTTGACAAATTATAAACTTCGAGCAGTATCTGCGCAGTGAAAAATGCGAAACCATCCAAAGTATTACTGCTGCAATGCGTGAAGGTACAGTCACCAGATCCACGATGGGTTGCTGGTGTAAACTTTCAAATTCAGGAGATATGGCCATTAGCAGCTTTGAGATGAAAGATACGTGCTATTCAATGCTTTGCAGGTGAACGCATTTTCTACAGGTACCATCTGAAAGAGCTTTTTACGCTCTATCCATCCATATGCAATTTACCTCACATTTTATCTACCTTCGGAAAATACAGATTGAAACTTGATTTACTGGTTTTTGTTGCGCCAAAAAATCGCGATTTTCCAGGTGTTTCGCTTTTTTTACCCAGAAATAGGAAGAAATTCTGTACGTTTCATATACTGTTTAAAAGAGCATGAACAGCTCTTTCGAATGATATATCAATTGCTCCATAACTTTGCGGTATGGCAGCGCAAGAATGAGCGAGGTTCAAAAAACCCTGTTCGAGTTCTTCAGGGCGCCACGCGTAGGGTTGTGGGAGAAGAGCGTTGACGTTTTGCCAGAATAATAGGCGAAGGTCGCTTATATAAGCGACGTTTGCGTTGCAGCCTGCTTGTTGTTGACCGAAACAAAAAATCTCAAAATTTGACAAAAATCAAGCTGTCCCATTTTTTAGTGATCACCCTAATATATATGTTTTGAAAGGAATTTCTTCTTTTGGCTGTAGATTTCACGGCAACAAAGCAAAGACGAAAACTTTTACATTTGTTTCGCTGTCTTTTTAATGTAGCAACCACACAGCGAACAAAGATCTATGAAAAAGAAAATCTGCCTGAAAAACTAGAAGAAAAGAGCTTTCGATCTTTGTGATTGCTATAAACTGTATTACAATCTGCAAATCTTTGGCTATTCTGAGCACTCTTTAAGATTATTGCAGTAACAGTGGAGAAGATTTTATAGGCGAAAATCGAGGAACATCCCCTTGTAGAAACCTTCACTTTGCACAAACATAACTTGATTTGGAATATAGCTGAGTTGCATAAGCACTGCTCACAGTGTAGTCCATAGTCGACTGAGCAGTACCGCTAACTTTGGATTTGGTCAAACTCCTTCATAAAAATTTTGTGCTGAAAAATCCGAAAGGACCCACTTATTTTGCTCTTTCCGAGGCGGCAAAAAATGCAATTTTCTGACATTTTTGATTTGTTCGCCGTTGACAAACCAGGAAATCTTTTCGTTTTTCTAGTAGCAGTTGTTCTAGCTCTAATCTTACTACACAGAGTAAAAGTTCCGCGATTGCAATATCTTTATGATTTTTATGCGACTTGAAGGGACCATAAAGACAGGTTATGTTTGAGCTAAAAGTTTGTAGGTTCAAAATTTTTCTGAAATCACATCTCGATGAGCGTTTCGTAGCACAAGTCTCCAGCAAACACTATATATGTTTTGAAAGGAATTTCTTCTTTTGGCTGTAGATTTCACGGCAACAAAGCAAAGACGAAAATTTTTACATTTGTTTCGCTGTCTTTTTAATGTAGCAACCACACAGCGAACAAAGATCTATGAAAAAGAAAATCTGCCTGAAAAACTAGAAGAAAAGAGCTTTCGATTGATTTAAATATTGTTTATGAAAAATGGTTTTTTCCTCCAAAATCGGCAGTTTAAAAAAGGTATCGAAAACGGGTAGAACTTTTGCAACAACCCAATATTTTCTCTTCTAATATCTGATGGCGGATGTCGTACTTGTGATGTCAAAGGGGCATCGTTCTTGCAACTTCGGAAAGCTATTTCGTGCCGGGCCCTGCTAACACCTATGAACGTGTCTGAAATGAGGGAGAAGTATTCCCTGATGATTCGCGGCGGCTGAAGGCCTTTTTTCCTTTATTTTTTCGCAAGGGTAATGATAACAACCTAAAATTTTACTGCTTATGTAGCCCAACAGTGCTATGTTTCCGAAACATCGAACCGAAATTTTCGATAAACCCCTGATTTCAATGCTTAATCGCAAATTCCATAACATACGTTAGGTGTTTTTATCAGAAACATTAGCAGTATTGAACTAAATAATCAGTGTAATGGAATGTTTTCATGACTCTGAAAAAAAAAGACTTTGACTTTAAAGAAACGATGGTCGGCCGCCGGGGAGCATCAGGGCATCGTACAAACACCTGGAAAGCGCGGCCTGTACTAATTCTTTAGCTCCATTCAGATATGTTTATAGTGAAGGGTAGTACGATTACTTACAATGGATCAATAGCATGAAATCAGATATCTATAGCTCAGAATAAAGCTTTTTTTGAGCTGCGTTCTCCTCTCCGGGAGACATTAATGCGAATAAGATTTGTATACCTGAGAACTTCTTCACAAAATTCGGAATTTCCATGAAACTTCATCATCAGGATGATGGTATTGCAGCAGATCATTGCCATAATGAAGTACTCGAAAGGAGCTGATGTTACAAGTTTCCAGATGCGATATCTTACGGAGTTCTTGTCTTCAGGCACAAATAGTGACCGTGGGCGAGCATTCAACACAAAGTCAATGCACTGTTTCTAAGGTAATAACCTTGATACTTTAACGGGCAACCAAACTAAAACTTGGTTACCTGGTTCTTGTCTAAATCGCCTTCAGCCAGTTCAATCTCACCCTGAAAAACAAGCATGAGATGAATGTAATGATTTATCTGAGACATTTTATAACCATATGATGCGTTACGCACCTGTTCTTGGAATGTGATTACGATCAAAGCCACAAAAATATTGACGAAGAAGAACGGGAACACAATGAAGAACATCACGTAAAACAAGGCGACCTCCGCATGATAGAATGGACTGGGCCCTTGATCCTTATATGTCGCATCCATGGAATTTTGACGAATACCAGGCCATCCTTCTCCTGTTGTCACCACGAATAATGTGAGCATGGCGTTGATGGCATTATCATAATTTAACGGCCTCAGTAACCACTTCCGCTGCTCGACACGAGGTGGATCATTCTGAGTTAGATAATCTTACCTGACACTATGCAAGCTGTATAGTTGAACAGAGACTTTACCTGATTGTTATATACAAAGAATTGTCCTTGACACTGATGTGCAAAGTGTTTTGTTTTGTCGGTGCAATAGAAAAATTTTCCATTGAAAAGCTAAAAACACTCTATTGCTGTGTCTTCTATTCACCGCAACCATGTAGATGATTTTTACACAACCGGCCAAGTTTCGGCTTTAGCTTCGTCAGAACCTGGAAGGTCGAGTGTATAAGCGAACAATCTCAAAGAACAGCAGACAACGATCAATCGGACGCCAACATCGGAACTCGAAATAACATTCAGTCCGTGACCAGTACGAAAGCCAAAATGGAATAACGGACAGCCACAACTTACCTCAGACGGCATGACAGGAAGTGCGTTGATCATCGACTGTAGGAGATGTACCTCCTTTTTTATAGTGTCCGGGTGACTGATCCTTATTTCAAAACCCATAGAGGGGCCACAGTCCGCAGAACAAATGTATACAGGAGCTTTTGGTAGCATTTTATGCAGTTTTTCATGCTCTTTTTGATGGTCATCTCTTTAATGCAGATGATGCAACGAGCTCTCAGAAAATTGCTATAAACTGCAACTCATGCTTTTTAACAAGGTCAGGTTCAGCTATTTTTCTAAATTCTCATACTGATTTCCCAAAGAAGTCCAAGTGAGCTGTCGATAGAGCAAACAAATTAGGATGCAATACAATTTTTGTTCGTTCCACAGCTTACTTTGAAAATTTTTTTAAAAAAGTTTTTCGATGCTATCAAATTCCATATTTGGGCAACTTAAACCTCATAGAACAACAGCCGGCGAGCAACTCGGGTGTTATTCGACGCAGCACTTTCTCCTCTTTCTTAGACATGTTTTTTGTCCCTGATTCGAGAAGTCTTGGAGGATAAAATCGACAAAATTCAGGTTTTTCAAGAAACCCTAGGCTGTACGCGACAAATTAGAAATTAGATATTTTGAGCCTCGAAACGCTCAACTGTTTCGTAAAATTAGTGCTAAATCCTAATCCACTTTAAAAGTATCAAAGATCGAGAGTTTAGTGAAGTTTGACGAGTCTGCGTCTGGTATGGAACTTCTGAAATTCGACGGTGTTGTTCAAAATTGTGTCAAAAAGTTATGGGGAGCCCTGGGAAGGAGATTGAAACTGTTTTGTATCCTACTTTCTTTGCTCTATCCGCTGGTCACTTGGACTTCTTCGGGGGATCAGTATAAGAATTTAGAAAAATAGTGGATCTTGACCTTGATAAAAAGCATGGGTCGCAGTTTATCGCAATTTTCTGATAGCACATTGTTTCAACTGCTAAACAAAGATAACCACTTGAAGGAGAATAAAAAAACTGCATCGAATTCTATCAAGAGCTTCTGTTAACCTTTGTTCTGCGGATTGTGGGGTTTGTTAAAAAAAAAGCGAAAATACTTTTGGGACGACCTAATCTAAACAAATTCAAAACAAAAAGTAACCAAGTTGAAAATATAGAAAATTATTTTAAAAAAAGATTCAATAAAAAACTGGAACCTCATTTATATGAAGTTAAACCAAGAAATGAACAAGGATAGTAAGTTCCAAGTTTCCTCTTTTGTTAACCTCGGCATATTTCGATGTGTTAGTAGGTTAGTAGGTTAGTAAGCCGAGCGAGGTTAGTACTTTATTAGTTAGTGGCGGCCTGACGTTTCGACTGGATCGTCTTCTTCAGAGGCCTAAAGCGGTAAGAGATCAATGATTTTATGCCTTACCCATACCTTCGATAGTCTAGAGACAGGGCGCCAAAAGTGAAGGTTGTTTGAACATCTGACGTCACAAATGGTGAAGGTTGTTCAAAGAAGATCAGAGAAGAGAATATGACGTAAAACAGACATAAAAAGCAAAAGAAACGGCTGTAAACCGGATAAAAACGCTGCAATAAGATTTGAAATCTTTCATTTGGCGGCCTTACAGAGTGCAAGTTTTCGCTCCAGGACCAGCAATTCGCAACACGGGGTTTTGATTTTTGATGCGTCCTTTAAATTTTTACCCCCGCGCCGTCCCTCTTGTACCCTGCGACGTTGTCTGGTTTCTTCCGCTCACCATTCTGAGCAAGTATCGTCCAAGCTGGAGAAAATTCGTTGCGAAACTACTGGAAAAGAATAAGGTAAAGAAAAACGCATTTTTTAAATAATTTCTACAAAAAAAGCGGCATAAGCAAAAAAATAAGCTCGGCGACGCTGTCTACATTATAGACAGAAACAAGTCCTATCGACTGCACAAAAAAACTGCGTGAAAAGAGTCAAATTAGGGAAAAAACGAGAGATTTTCAAAAACAAGGTTTTTGCCGGATTTCTTGTTTAAATCATAAAAAGGAGTCCTGCGACGTTGTCAGCGTGAAAATAGAGATCAAGAGCTTCAAAATGATATATAGCTTGCTAAAATTGGGTTCGAAACAGCGAAGAAAAGGGTACCAGAGCCAAATGCCCCGCGCCCCGCGCTTGGGGTAGCGAGGTAGCGCGCAGCGCGCGGAGACGCAGACGAGCAGCGGAGAGAGACCAGAGCCGGCGGGGCATTTGGCTCTGGTCATTGATCTCCGCGGGGTCATAACGAAACCCTATAATATTATATATCGTTGTGATCCTCATGACACGGCCAGGAGCACTGACAACGTCGCGGGTCTTGAATCTCACTCCATAACGAGATAGACCGGCATTTATGTGGCGACTCTCTGCGCAAGATTTCAGCGCAATTTCTCGTTTTTGTTGAACTCCAGCGGCTTTCATGAACCTCCAACGCTCAATCGCAGTCTATAGAAAGGTTAACTGATAAGTTTTATCCTAATTTCTAACTGAATTTTCGAAGAAAAACCCTCTTTTCAGCAAAAAAGGCCATGAAAACGCAATCTTTCGGTTTTTTGAGCTTTTCTTTGGATGTCACTACTATATGCCTCATTCACATTCATCCTTACATAGTTAGTCATTAGTTATGTCATAATATCCGGGGCTTCGCCCCGGATGACTTGTACTCCTCTCCAGGTGAAGGTTGTGTCCTCTCATGACACTCAAAATGAAGGTTACCAGAGTACGTGGCTCTGTGTATCGAAGGTATGGCCTTACCCCACCAGAAACCTCTTCCATCCTGGCTAGCCTCGAATTCACCCCCGAATGCTACAAACGAAAATACGCAGAAACGTGAAAGACAAACCAACCTCCTCCGCCGCTGCCGCGTAGATGTTGAATGCGGCCGTCCTCGAGTGCCACTAGTACTAATAGTGAAATATGGTCATACCGTGTTGACACTAATCACTAGCAGCATTCTTCAACTCACATAATTCCAAGAAAGGCATAAAGTCATTCGTGATTGACGCACACTCATTTCGGCTGTTCATGCATGGATTTCTTGCGAAAATCCAGAATCTCGAGAGCTTTTCTACTAGCAGTGTCATACTCGTGTGCCAGTATAGTACATCTGATTTCGAAGTCCTTACCACAGTGGAGTTCAACTCTGTGTTTACCGAGCGGTGTAGTAAGACTTCCCCGTCTCTTGCTGGCAAGATGTTCTTTCATTCTTACCCATAACGGTCTCCCAGTCTCTCCGATATAAGTGGCGCTGCACTCAATACATTTGATCTCATATATCACACCGGTCTTACCGCAGTCACCAACTTTACCGGATGGACAAACTACACAGTCTTGGATTCTGCAGTAGTTGTCGTAAAGTCTGTTACGTACTAGCCGCTTCCTGATGTTAACCCTGGAATGTCAATC